ATACAGTCCAATTGATAACCTTAACCTTTTTAAAAAAAAAGGAGGAATCGGTTAAATAATGTCAATAGAAGAATGAATATAAAGTACAGGTCTTCTTCCTCGTATGCTCTTGCCAGAGCAATCGTGGTCAGACATGATGTAGGAGGCGCGTGAGCACTACAGCTCTCCACTTGTCTTGAACCGAGGTTTGGTGGGTGTTGTCGTTCACAGATACCTTGGTCAAGGCTTTTATCTGGTCAGTCTAGCGCAACGGAGACCTTCCCCGAGAACGAGAAAATACAGGTTATATCAAATAATCTGTATTTATATTTTCTTCCTAAATATCTTCTCTAAACTAAATTTTATATTTTTTATCAAATAAATTCTTCAATATATACATTTTCCATAAAATAATTTAATAATGTAGGTTAAAAGTTAAATACCATTGACATTTTCAATTTCCTGGAAGAGTCTGTAACTTAATATTATATAAATGGAGGCGTGATTGGATGCCAATAAAATTTCCTTTTATGAAAAATAATCAAAGGTATATAACCTTTGATTATTTTTCTCATTTAAAAGTATCTTGTTATTTTCAGCATACGCGATATTGCCTTTTCAATTTGTGTTTATTATGTTTTCTCATTTCGTATAATTTGCAAATAAAAGCTTTTCGAGGAGACCATCTCTGGAGATTTCTTAACCTACTAATTCAAGTACTCAATTTACAATATTGAAAGGCCGCTCAACCCCACTGGGATGAAAATTCTTGATTACAAATAAATAAGTATTGGCCAACATCACATAAACCGTCAAGTGGCTGAAATAGTGTGAAATATAGTCTACATCACATATAAGTAAAAGCTTTGTGTCGAATTTATGAAAGCTTCAATTGTGTTAGCTATATCCAGGAATATATCTCGGAATATAAGTATCTTGGCTATATCTCAATTATGGAGTCGTGGCAATGACTATGAAAAGTTACCAATCAAAGCATGTCATATTATAATAAAAAAGGTCTACTTCACCTTAATTGGTTTTGAGGATATACTCAACGTACTATATTTGATCAATTTTTCATTCACAATGCTATACTTAAAAATATTCTTAATGAAAAATGCTTAAAAAATCCACTTGGTCCCTGGCACCCTGAGATGGGACCTTCGCAATCCGGGCGACTGCTCACCGATCTTACGACTGAGCTATCCAAGACCAACGAATTCTAACAGGACTAACGAATCCTTCAAGCACTTATAGCTTTTTCGCTACTACTGAATTCGACTTCTAAGTATATAAATACATGCTTAAATTGTGTTGAGTGATTGTAAGAGTAGCTCGGTGGCGCACTGGATAAGCGCCGCAACTTTCGCAAGGGTCAGTCATGGGATGAGTGACCAAAAAAATATTATTTCGATTGTAACATCACAGTTCTCTTTTGAATACTGTAATGAAAAATAACCTCAATCAAATCGCCTAACTTTAAAACATGCAATGTGAATGCCCTTTTTAAATCGCGAAATATAATGGCTACACTCGTTAAACGCCCATCATAGATATAATTAACGGTGTAACCCGTTAGTGAGACCCCACCGCTATTGTGTAACAATTCGCTTAACTGTCTGTCACCTAGTTCTCGCGCCTGTTTCACAATTATCAAAGCTTACGTTTATTGACGTACATAGTTTATATTATTCTAACAACAATAATACCGTATAACAACATTACTATGATATTTAAATAAATTCATGTGGCAGTTGATATTAATTTGACAAAGTTTATTGTTGTATTTATTTGACACGTTTAGACTTCAAAGTGATAATCATCCACAAAACAAATAAATAACCTATGACTAATTTACTTACATAGCATTCCTTGACTTAAGGTTTTTCTACACACGGCTGCACGTCAGATTACCACATATGTATGTCAAGTTTATGCAATGGATTTTAAACTCTTAATTTCAAAACACGAGGGTTCAAAATCAAGTGAATAAATTTGACAGAATTGTATAGCCTAACGTGCTGTTGACTGTAGGTATATGTTTCCCAAATTCATGTCTAGGAACTAATCGAAACGGAAACCTATGCCTTCAGGTGTTATGTTAATTAATACAAGTACATATTAGACGTGAAGTAGAATAGAAGTAGAATAGAAAACACCAATAAATAAAATAGGTAACAATAATATGGAACAAATAGTACAATCGGCGGCCTTATCGCTAAGAAGCAATTTCTTAGAGGGTAACCTTTACCGTTTGGAAAATTTTAATTTAAATCTAAATTACGTAGTTTATGGTGTCTTAAATGTACATGATATAAACATACATAGACAATTATCATACATACTATAACTATAAAATATATATAGGTATATTAATATAAAAGGTCATAATGACAGATAGTGCTCCTTTACTAGATTTTTGAAACTATCTACCGTTTGCGCACGGCACAGTAGATGTAATATTAACGTATCATAAAACATAATCATTCAAGCTTATCTATGATGAAACTTGGGTAGTCGAATTAAGTGTATTACCAATAACAGTAACCGGTGATCAAATTTATAGGCAGTTTTTGATTTTGATGAATATCGATGGCAGTGCTATTCAGGTTTAGACAGCGTACCGTTCAAACGTAGGGCTCCATTAGTCGATTAACTCCCTTAGGTATACCTCGAGCTAATGGAGTTTCTAGTACATTTAAGTTGGTTAGAAAACTATTGAATATTTTATCAAATATATATAACGAACGTCCACATCGATATCGACGAAATTAAGAGGGTCAGCATTATCATCGTAGCGTCTCTGAGATTATCGGTCAGAATGTTAAAATTTAGCCTTTCCTAGTTACCGATCTTTACTTTTATTCGTTAGGGAACGCCGGTAGCCGCATTACTTTTGTCGATTTTCGTCGATTTCAGCCGCTTTGCGAGCGACAGGGCGTGAGTACTCCGAAAACAATCGGATAATTTTAAAATGTACAAAATTCTCGATAAAGTTATTTCTCTGCAGATCTTGAGTAAAGATAGTGCTAGACGCACGAAGACGAAAGAGAATTTTTAACTTTGAGATATATGATGTTGATATTGTATATATTAAATTTATGTTCAAAATATGGTACTTTTTAGTTTGATAAAAGTAGCTAAATATCGCTCTGATTTGTGAAATTCCTTCACATCACTCATCAAAATTGCACACTATTAAAACGCTTTCCGCCATGCTTCGTATAGTATAGATAATATACTTAAATCTCATTTCGTTAAACACACATTGTAGCACGTACTTAACAGTGCAATTTATTATAGCCCACAGCTATTTTCCACGCCGGTGGAACAAGCAATTAAACGTGAGCCCAAGAAAGTTGTACATTTTGTAAGTTAATAAAACGGATTTATGCTGGGCCCCAGCTGGAACGAACGGCGACAAAGTGAATTTTGATGAAATTACTTCACCAAAGTTTAATGGAGTATACTCGACGGTTTTGTTTGACTCTTATTTACATTAACGCATATCCCAAATGTCTTTCGCTCAGTCAATCTATATGCTTACAGTCACGTTACTCCGAGAATGTGTTTGTTGTGTTCTTAATGTGTTCTTGGCGTTTTTATATTCCCTCGTATAGAAAATACACATATCCAAGAGAAGACAAAAAACAAAATCAATATAGATTTCTTAAAATAACTGTAACTTAAGATATCTTTTACTAAGTTCGCGTCTTATTCTGAATATGTTTATCCATTATACTGTTATGAAATAAAAATTTCGCTTAAATATTAAATCCCTCCCCGAAATATGGGATGATTCCGTTAAATTGCACATGGCCATTACCAGGAATCATTTGTTTAATCTCGATTCAGCCAAGCGTTTGGGCTTTGAAGTTACCTGCTTTTTTAAGGAACGGTATGTAATAGAAACGTCCACCTTTTACAAAGATGGTCTTTATATATTTTCCCAGGCAGAAAATTATATGTATCTTGTTTAACGAACCTGCTTTAGGAAAAAAGTAAAAAGAATATTATATAATCAGTTTTATTTATGAGCGGTTTTCATCCCCACTACGATTGCAAGTAGTGGTTTTAATTCATTCCTATTCCCTGAGCTCTGCACTTTGAATTAGTTTACATAAAATATAGCTAGCCATTTATTAGAGATACTGGCCTTATTTGTATATTTGAATAGTAGAGGTTTTTTATTATTTATTTACTTAATAAACTCTAAGCTAATTTTGGTTTGTCGATAACAAACTCTATGTTAGTTTTTTTTTAAATTTAAATTGTGTTTTTTTTATCCTTTTGTTGTAGATGATGACTCGTCTCATGTTTACGGTGTCATCACATCAGAGGGTCTATTCGATGGCACAATCTGGACGCCTTCAGAAGAATATTATGTGGAGCCTATATCGCGCTATAGCCAAGAACATCCTACAATGCATAGTGTTATTTACCGAAGGTCCGATGTAGAGCATCCATATGATGAAAGCGAAGGAACTCCGTGCGCTTCACATCTTCTTCATATGAAAAGAACAATGGGTCAACAAGGAGAGCTGTTCAACTTCACAAATCACCCTAGTAAACAAGACCTACCTCCTAATAATCGCACCGAAGATTTAAACAGCGAAATACACAGACGTAAGAAGAGGTGGCTCCCTGAGGATGAAATGCAAGACGACGAGCCTAAGAAGAATCCCGAATTACCTTTAGATTTAGACGTCCCTTACACGAGCAACAACGAACCTTTCGATAAGTTCAGCACGAGAAAACCAAAAACGAAAATCGACAAAAGTAACCTCATAACAAAGGTGCGACTCGATTCTGAGGAGTCGAGACCGAAACCAAAGACGCACGTCGAAGTTATAAAAACTAAAGCAGGAGTAGTGACAGTCAGTAAGGATATAGTTAAGAAGGAGCCAGTAGGGTATACAGTGTTGTCGGCTAATGGGACAGACGACGGTCGTCATGTAAATAAAAGAGCTACTGTAGACCCAAAAAAGACCACATGTCTAGTATACCTGCAAGCGGATCACATGTTCTTTCAACGATATGGATCGGAAGAGGCCTGCATTGAAGTCATGACACGACATGTCCAAAAAGTAAACGCCATTTACAAAGTCACAGGTTAGACCTATTTATTTTTGTACCTTGTTTAATTATTATTTTACGTACAGGTACATATATATTTTTTTTACATTCATTTTCCAGATTTCAATCAAGACGGCAAGCCGGATAATATAACCTTTATGATCAAAAGAATAAAAGTTCATACATTAGATGCTTTGAAAGAGCCTTCTTATAGGTTCCCCAACAACTACGGCGTTGAGAAATACTTAGAGCTTTTTTCAGGTAAGTGATTTCTCTTTATGCGACCAAACAATAGAGTTAAATACTATTTAGTAACCTTAGTACTTACATTACAAATTCATTTGACCGTTTACCTGATGTTTCTGTCTTTCTTTTAAAGTAAAAGTTATTTTTATGCTAATGTATTTTTTATGATTACTCCTATCTTTTTCAGAGGAGGATTACGACGCGTTTTGTTTGGCATACATGTTCACATATAGAGATTTCGAGATGGGTACATTAGGCTTGGCATGGACCGGTGATCTGAAGAATGCGGGCGGAGTTTGTGAAAAAAATGGGGTTAGTATTTACTCTCTTATTTTATATCAAATGACAATGTTATTATTATAACTGGAAAAGTAGGTGTTATTAGCAAATGAGATGAGATGATAAAAATGAATAGTTAACACCCACCAATATGCAATGTGCTTGTATGGTGGGTACTGGCCCGTGTTCCCTATTTGACTCCATCGGAATACCAGTGAATTTTGTTAAATCCTTTTTAAAATATTTTTTGTATAGCATAGTAACCTTTTATTTGCAATATCTAACACTATGTGTATAATAATTTCAGCACTACCGCGGGAGTATGAAGTCCTTAAACACGGGCATCGTGACTCTACTGAACTACGGCAAACACGTACCGCCCGCCGTGTCACATGTCACACTCGCACACGAGATTGGACACAACTTTGGCTCACCGGTAACTACTAATAGAGATCAATTTGCCAAGACTGACCAATAATTTCTGTCTAGGTTTACTACTAGATATATTCTTCAAAATTCAAATTGCGGCATACACAATATTTTCAAATTTAGATTGCTATTTGACTACCGTCAAATAGTATTAGGAAATACTATTTGACGGTAGTAAAGAAAAAAATACATGCGATTAAAAATTATATAGTACAGATAGAAGTATTTGAGATTGATAGATGACTTCATAACGTGATGTAAAAACAACGGTCAAAATTATATTGTTTTTTAAACAGTAGGTATCTTTATTTAAATTATCGATGAACGAATGTACACTCGTCAGCGTAAGTGCACTTTGTGCAATCGCAGAAAATATCGGAGGTGGCGATTTTTAAAAGGCGGAAGAATTATATATTGAGTTCTTAAACTATTTTTTCTTTCTATTTAATTAATTCTTTGTATAACGTGACCTCCGGTTTCTATGATTTACCATGCTTCATGTAATAATTTCTTTCTGCTGGCACTGCCACGTCAAAGATCTGTTCACGTAAGCAATAGGCATTCCCCGAGGAATGGAACATAACTTCATACAAGTTTAAACCATAGAAATTTAATGACTTAAGCGGGCGCCTAACCCCCACCAAAATCAGTAACTTTCAATTTTGTTTAATGGAAATGGTACAATCGACAATAAATAGTTTTGACCTTTAGTAATAGATATAAGACCTATTAGGTAGTAAGCCTTTTGCTACACCATTGTGTACTATTCATCCTTCACGTACAGGGGTTCATTTCTGCTAACGTCAACACCATAATGATGGCAAGTCAGTGGCGTTTCAATAGCAGCTTTTTAACATCGTTCTTGTCATTATCACCAAATAACAAAATAATCTGCCATAATTAACGCCATTGTATAATATTTTCAGTCAGATGAATAATGCAGTTGGAAAATGCTATTAATTGAAACGCTCTTGATGTGCCGTTATTAAGTTTATATAAGCTGAATAAGGTCCAGCACGCAAGAGTCCAATACACATTGTACGATTAAAAATGACTTCCATACATGTGTACACGTTTCGACAGCACGACCCCGAGGTGTGCACGCCGTTTGGCGAGGACGGCAACTATATCATGTTCGCGCGCGCCACCAGCGGCGACCGCAAGAATAATAACAAATTCTCGCCATGCTCGCTGCGAGCCATCGACCCCGTTCTCAACAATAAAGCGCGTTCACCTAAGGGCTGCTTTACCGGTAAGCTAAAATTGTTAGAATACTATGTCTTAAAAAAATGTGTACCAACATACAGCTCATTGCACTGTACAAGATTTTAGAAAACTTTCATTTTAAATCAAATGCATTATTAAACACTCCCTATGATTAAGCCCTATGGCCCTAGTGACTTTCGTAGTATATACTTCGACGACAAGCTTGAGAAGTTGCAGTCAACAACGCGACAGGTTGAACAAATCTGTCAAATTTCTTCACTTTATTTTAAATCTTCATGCATTCTTTATTGGTAAAGTTAAAAATCATCATTACTTCATAACAATCATACACGTATGGGCTGTTTCAATATAAATCACAAGATATGGCTCAGCTTAAACTGATACGAGGTTGTGGTCAGCCGCTCCTACCTACCAATGATCTCCCCGAGAACATGAATGATGACCTACTTATATTAAAAGTACAGTCCCATAACAATAAAATTATCTAAGTAATTTTATCCGACAATGAGGAGCTCGTTGGCGCAGTAGCTAGCGCGCTCGGTCTGGGATACGGTTGTTAGTCAATTTTCGCAATGGCCTGTCATAAGATGGGTAACCAAAAGTTTATTATATCGAGCTCCTCGGTACTTCGGAAGGCACATTAAGCCGTTGAGCCCATCTGCATCTGTAGTCGTCAATCCTCACCAACACACACTGAGCACTGAGCCCGCGTGGTGGATTCTCCCAATTCCATTTGATTCGATTCCATATATAGGGAAGGCCTGAGCCCCAGCAAAGAGGACTCTTATAGGCTGGTGATAACGTTGAAGTTTATCCGACATGTGTGAAACTTTAAACGTCATAGTCTTTTTTTCAATTACCCAGAACCGCAGCCAGCAATCTGCGGTAACGGCGTGGTGGAAGAAGGAGAAGAGTGCGACTGTGGCTGGGCGTCCGAGTGCACGGACGTGTGTTGCCGCCCGCAGGCGCCGCGCCCGCACTACAAGCCCTGCACACTCACCGAGCACAGCGTCTGCAGTCCCAGCCAGGTAATAAACAACTCAGAATGGCTGCGCACTCAGGGTTTGGATTGTGAAGTCATTAGTATAATCATCACCGCCATCACCAAATGGTCTATTAATTTTTATTGCTCTCTTGGTACCTACTGTTATTATAAAATACGCTTTTTTGTTAACTGTACCTGGTACGAATCCTTGTTTCAGAAAAAAAAATCACAGATATATCTTTTGAAATCAATATAGGCTACGTTGTTAGTCCTTAAAATAAATAACTGGCCTCGCGGAAAGGAGGGTTGAGGAGTATAAGGTCGGAAGGAAGGATTAATTAAGTTTAAATATTTGTTTCGGGAGAAGGTGAATTCTTGGCTTTGTAACTTAAAGCACATGCGAGATGAAATTAACTTTCGATTAACTACAGACAGAGCGATATATCGTAAAACTGTATACTTCATCCATCAGTTATAAAGGAAAATTGCTAAATCAACAACAGTTAATTTCTATAAAAAAACATTTTTCGTCAATTATTTAATTGTATGTTCATTTCAGGGTCCATGCTGTACCGCGTCGTGCACACTCAAGTTCGGTGACAAGTGTCGCTCGGACAATGGATGTAGGGACGCCGCACACTGTGACGGCAAGCGCGCCGCCTGCCCCGCCAGCAGACACAAGCCTAACCGCACGCGGTGCGACAAGGAACTCGTCTGCTACATGGGAGTGAGTCGATGCTTCCTTTATTGTATCTAACACTGTTCTTGTTCCGTATATATTATTATTGTTGTTATGATGACTTATGCTTTATTTAAACTAGTGCACCTATTTAAAAATTCTACATTTACATCATATTTGCATTTTTAGACTTGTAGATTAATTTAATTGAAGATCTGTATAAATAAATTACATATTATGAATTGTGACCTTACTTGTATAACAATATTATAAATATAAATGGCTAATAATAAATTGAAAAGAAAAAAAGACAGCTACTTACGTATACAGTAATAACAAAAATAACATTTTTTAATTGAAACCTTTGTTTAACTTTTAAACTTTACAAACCTAGCTACAATTAGATGTTTATTAATAATTTTATTCGGGTATATATATATTATTTTGGTATATTCACCGTTCCGACTAATCTTTGAAACGGCTGGGCAGATTTTGACGGGACTTTCACTAGCAAATAGTTTATGTAATAAGGAGTAACTTGGGCTACTTTCCACGCGGCCAAAGACGCGAGCACAGCTAATGTAAAATATAATAGATAAATGGTTTTATTAAATGTGATAATTCAAATTAATCACAAATTTATTTATTTGTTATAGGAGTGCACTGGCTCCATCTGCTTGGCATACGGTCTGGAGTCGTGCCAGTGCGCGCCTCGTAAGGAGGACCCGCGGTCCGCGTGTGAGCTGTGCTGCCGCAAGCCGGGCGGGCCCTGCCTCTCCTCCTTCCACTGGAACGCGGCGCCCTACGACGTGCCCGACATGTACGCCAAGCCCGGCACGCCCTGCAACGACTACAACGGGTCAGTCTCGGCACTAAACTCACGCAGCACAACAATCATTCACGACATACTTATTACTAGATACACAACTGTTGTGGCTCATTGATGAACCTGCGCAAATGGCTAAAATCCGAAACGCAGCAAATGTCGACCAATCGGAATAATTCGATTCGCTATCGGGCTTTTCACCAACATCCATACTGACATGTAATGCGTGTTTTATTTACATTGAAACAAGCCTCACTGTACATTTGGCGCAAACGAAGATTGACCAAAATGAAAAAAGCTATGCGTAAATATCCAAAATGCAAGTAAAATGTCCCGCGATAACTCATTAAAATGGCTCGTCGTCATCGACTTCTACTCAATTCTGCATATCAGTGACGTTATATTATCCCGGACAGGTACTGCGACGTGTTCCAGAGATGCCGCGAGGTGGATCCGGCGGGCCCGCTGGCCACGCTCCGTCGCCTGCTGCTGTCGGACGAGAGCCTGGCCGGCTTCCGGCGCTGGCTGCTGCGGCACTGGTACGCCGCGCTGCTGGTGCTGCTCGCCGTCATCGCGCTGCTGGTGAGTACTGTTGCCGGACGAGAGCCTGGCCGGCTTCTGACGCTAGCTGCTGGTGAGAATTGCTGCCGGCCGAAAGCCTGGCCAGCTGGCTGCTGCGGCACTGGTACGGGTTCACCATTAGAATAAGAATATCAAGAACAACTAATTTTTATTTCTGAAAAAACTATATCAAGTTATAAAAATATAATAATTTCCTATTTTTTTATTTTCTTAGTGTTGCTGTTGCGTTTTAGACTCTGCGTCGATACCCGTCGACATCAAACAATAGTTTTCCTCTAAAGGTACTTTAGACCTTCATTGGACGAAAATCACGTAAAACAAACAGCTATCATGCGTGGTATTTTGTGCGTATTGCGATAAATTGTGTCAGAAATTTTTAGTTTTTCATAAGAGCTAGGCTACAAACAAAGATAATTGTATCATTAAATAAACCATCATTCATTGTAGTAATATTAAAGCAGTAGTACCCACATAATTTAGCTTATTCATTATTCAAGGGATTCTTAGAAGACATTGTGCCCAATTTACTACATTCAGAAAGAACTATACTTAATACCAAATATGAAAAGTTTCGTTGAAATCAGACTCTGCTATTGGTATAGATCGCATCGATGCTTGTAAAATTTGTTAACTGACTGCATTTTTCCAAAAATGTAATAAGTTTCACATTAGATGCAGCTTGAATTTTTCTACCGAATGGTGTATTTGACTCATTTTTTTGTAGAAAAAGTACGATATGATCACTAATCGTTGATCATATAAAAAAAATCATATCATTTATATGCTTGGACTTGAGAATTTGTTCTCAATTCTCCAATTTTCTTACTAGAATTTGCACCAACTAAAATATCGCTTTTTACTTTAAATTGATATTGTACAGAAAGAAATTAAGGCCATATAAGATATAATTATAAATTGAGGATGTGAAATTATAAAGTCTGCCTTATAGAAAGTACATTTTATCGTACATTACTTTGTAGCTGATGGTTAAGATCAAGAAATTCTACAAAAAATATATTTTGCTATCCCTGTCTGTTGCACTAAATAGTCTATTCATTTCGTCCCCTTTACTCTTCGTTCTTATGCGCATCTAAAAGTTCTCGTTGCATTTATAGGTGGCCAGCACACGTTACTTTGGTCGTCACGGCAAGAAACTCAAATCCGTTACCATCATTCACTCGTCCACCACAGAAACCGTCCGTTTGCCTGATGCTCCAGACCAAGGCCTCATAGTTCACACAGCAGTCAGGTAACCTGCCACTTTGTAAAAGTTTCATTTGTTACCTCTTTCCATATTATGCAAATACTAGCTATTACAGTAGTTATCAGAAATTAAAATAGAAATTCAATTTTTAGGTCCAAAGTTCCTCTCAAAAAGAAAGTAGCCCTTCGGACCCGAGCATATCGCAACAAGAAAGACCACAAGAAATTAGGAGACAAAGCTTCTCCGTCTCACAGTGCCAATAAAAAGAGAGTAAGTAGTATTTGTTATTGGTTTGTTATTCATTTTTACTAAATAAAGTTATTTTTTTTATCATATGACAAATCTTTTTCAGAAGCCAACTACACAAGTTAAACCGGATGAAAATATTAAAATTAATAAAGAGAATACGGCCGTCGTAACTAACGTCGATGGCAAATCTCCAAAACATGTGATACTGTCGAAACATAAGGGAAAAGTCAAAAAACGTAAGTCGAAAGTGAAAAAAGAGACAATAGACTACAGCGCGATGCAGAAACACTCCTCGTCTCCCACTAAAGATACCGAAGCGCTAACCAAAGTACAGAAGTGGTTGCTCAGTTCACCGCAACCGACCGTCATTCCTAAATCTAAATCAATACCATTGGGTCTAACGGACAGGACGCACAGGCAAGTCCAAAAGACCACAAGAAAAACCAGGCCGTCGAAGAGCGCCACCAATCTAATCAGCGGTGAGAAGGCCAGGCTACAAGTGGTCTTCAAACCGCCCTTCCGGTTCAGCGTTAAAATTTGCAAAAGCGACAAAACCAAAGTGGTTTTAGACAAATCTTCCAAACCCGACGTAGACAGGAAACGTCACGAAACTTCGGCACAGCAAACCACTTCCGCGGACGTCGCAAAGTCTAATCCGTCCAGCGGCAAACCGTCTAAGCGTTCCAATTCGACGAGAATGGAGATCACCCCCGACGCACCAAAGCCGGAAACGCCTCGAACCCGAGAGACTGGCGTTCCCGGCTACGCAAACATGCTACCGAGGAGCGCCAGCGATTGCAAACTGACCAAGAAATCATACGAAGCGAAATCTCGAAACGGTCACAAGAAGAGCAACTCGCTCGGCCAAAAGAAGGAGACGACGGAGAGCCGACAGAACCTGATCGCTCACGAGGACATTGACAGCGCGCACGTGTACGAGAACGTTTCGATTTCGCAGGAAGCGTTCGTGCCGAAGAGCTGCAGCATGCCGCGGAGACAAACCAGCGTCGGCATCGCGCGCCAGAGCAGCTACGGACATCTGCCGCGGGCACACGCGCGCCCGCACCGGCACAGCACCAGCAACGTCAGCGCCGCCGCCGCCGGGGACGCCGAGCTCGAACACTTCTACGGCGTCATCGAGTCACTGCGACGGGGCGACGACAAACGAGCGTGTGACATCGGCATCGGCAGCTCCTCGGGCAGTGGCCGCCGTGAACAGACGAAGAAAACCGATCTGGCGGAAAAGTCTGCCCGGACGAGCCCTATCGACACTGCGAAACTGGAAAGACGACTGAGCGAAATTGAACTCGGAAAACGTCTCTTGAACGACAGCGGTGTGCGCGGGTTCCAGCTGGTGGTCGGCAAGAGTAAATTGAAACGGCAACTGAGCGACAATGAGCTGTGCAAGTCCCGCGTGCAACTGGCGATGCCGATGTCCGCGGGAGCGGAGCCGCGACCTGCCTTCTGTTGGGCGCCCGCCGCCGTCGAACCGCGGCACAAACGGTCCACATACACGTTCGGGGAACTAAAACACTCAGTTCCCGACGCTCCCCAGCCCGCGGCCCCCGACGACACCCACGTCTCCCCCGAGGAATTCCTGAACACCACAGACGGGTGACGCCGCGCTCTACACGACGAAGCTTCGACACGTGAGTGGTCGCGCCCGTTGTATTCGCGTCGTAGCACGAGTTGTATCTATGTCGACTAGTGTAAATATTGTAATTTGCTTTACTATATTAAGATTAATGTAATCCGTCACTGAAACGAACCATTGCGTAGTCTTCACTTTTGAGACGCTCTCTTACGATTGGAGTCTCCTGAAAAACTTTGATGAAAAGATTTAGTGGGACGAGAAAAGCTCCCCGTCTAAATTTCTGTAATGTGATTATGGATCACTATAATAATTAAGTATATATTTTATAATATCCCATGCCGTTTTCTCCTTCGCACGTGGAGCGTGACGGGCTGGTGATGGTCTCGTTTCACTGAGCGATCTCTATAAATGAATCTCTATTTTTTCTACATGCTATGTATTGTACAAATTTACTCATACCTATGTAAAGTGTTCAAGTAAACATTCCATTTTTTTTATTTAATTATATTTATCATATTTTATGGAAAAACCTCAATTAAGAATTTGGTTCATTTTCATGTCTATTATTAAATTATAATTTACTTAGATAGTTGTCAATTAACATGTCAATACTTTAACATAAAATACACACAAGTATTATGACTATTCTATAAAGAATCTATAGATATTTTTTTGGATATCCGACACAGGTTCAGGGTAATCATCAGATACTAAAAATGCCAATTTTCATTTCCTACAAAATCGCTTGGAGAAATTTGAAATTTTCCGTAGTAACTGACGTGCTGTCGATTGTTCTAAAGTATTGATTTCCGTTTAAAAAAAAAATAAAAACAAAATATTTTAAATATTTATTTTAGGACTGAAATTATAAAGCCGAAATTATAATACCATGATCTAAACAGAGGCAATGCAATGAAAATTCTTCATAATCGTGGTAGTGTAAGATATTTTTCTATTTACTAACTTCCTAAAGGGAATCCTTTAAAATGCGCCATTATCCATATCTGAACAAAAACTGAAGTGTGTATAACAAACTATTCCACTAATCATTATTTTTTTACAAGTATTCAAATAAAATAATTTTAATTAACAATCTAACTATCTAACTACCTACTTAAGCTATAAGTGGGTATACATATGTTTATTATTAAAAGCCAGAGTTTATATTCAGCCTACTTACTGTTATGAGAATCATAATTCTTACCGCAATGAACAGTGAGATTAATCTGACACCCAATCGCTTGCTACTTGCAATATTACAAGCGTTAAATTTCTTTTGTGAAAATTATGGTTTATTTTATTAGTACAGAGGCTATTAATGTCACATAAATATAGGAGAGCTGCTTACCCGTAACATATATAATGACTTTCAAAAAATATCATTCATAGTCCAATCATTAGGCGAAAATATTGTCTCCCTAAAAAATTTGCATAAAAATATTTCAAGAAGTTTTTACCGCATCGTGGGGTAGTGGATGAATGTAAACCCGGTATAAGAAAGACATGGCTGTAATCTGTTGTTATTTAATTAAGTTCTGCAATATCTGGGATGGAATTTATACAAACAATTATTTTTAGTATGACAATATCGTAGTGTGTGTAAAAAGATATGTATAATATTGATAAATTAATGTTATTAGAGCTATATAGAATTAATAGGTACAAAATGTAATAAGTTCTCGCGGTCCCGCCTATAGGTTTCTTTCAAATGACTATTTGTTTCACGTATCGTTCAAAAAGTACGTATAAATATAATGATTATAAAAAATAAATACCTACATATATCACACATACATTAAAAAGTACAATATCTATTTCTATCTCAGATATTTTTCAGAATAAGTTCAACTATTTTTGTGAAACGTACACAAGTGTCACAAGAACTTTGCCGCTGTGACACAGCGTAAATGAGCTTTGTTGTAGTGAGGTAAGGATAAAATGTAAAAGCTATTGTATAGAAACTGACTTCTAAGGCGATACTAAAAGTATTGGAAATGTTACAAATTTGTATTTTTAAAATCTTCTAAGTTAACACGAAAAAACTGTATGTGTGTATCTTAATGATTTATTCATATAATTTATTAAAATTTAAGTCTAATAATGAAAAACTACCAAAAAGTATGGATTGAAAAGTAAATGTTAATTAATTATGAATTTGAAATCTACGTGTTTAGACTTTATGGATATATTTGATGGGTTTGTAGTATTAAAAATATATTACTTATTAATAAACTTCCAATTTTATCAGTCAAATTAATGAGTAAACCAAGTTTATTTTCATAAAAGTGTTAGGCTTCAATGTTTTCTATTATAAACTATAAACTGAATAGATATCTGACCATTATATTACGTCATTCTATTTGTTCAAAGTGCCTTATGAAAGCCATTGCATTCCTACAGACATTCCAAGTTTTTCAACTTCAAAATAAAAATTATTTTATTCCTTCATTCAAAAATCGAAGTTGTATTTTATCTAATGATTCAGTACTTAATTAGTCTGTGATAGAAATTGTTTTTACAGTCTATATCTGTTGTATTCTACGATAACTCTTCACGCTTATAAATAATCTAAAATAGTCTTATTGTTAAATATTATATATCCAAGGAATACAAATTTGTAATAATTCATTTTCTAACTTTTTACTTTGTTCCGCGTTTTTAAATATTAAAAGAATCCGAGACAAAGTGTGTTTCATTGTTTACCCACTCTACTGAATTTATCTAAGACCTAGATTCGTTTATGTAGGTATGTTACTGTAGAAGTTCATATTTAGGTTAACCTCGGGCTTTACTAGTAAATTTTGGGATTGTCAATTCATATAATACTTACGTTTCTTCTGCTTTTTTTATTAATGACGTACCTGTGAATTTCGCATAATTATGCCAATGTCAAGTGAATAAATTAATTTCTACATGTAAAATGAAATTGAAACGAATGAAAGGTGGCGATGATCTCCTTAATCATGAATTTATGCATTTTACTGTGCAATTTTCAATTTGACTATTTTGAGAAAAGTATTTAAAAAAGTAGGAAAATTAAAGGTGTTATTTTTAAGGAAAATCTTCTTTTTTTTTTCATTTATTTAAATTATTCCGCGAAAACGATCAGTCACGCACGTGACATTTCGAGCCGTGATGTCACGTTTCGTTTATTGTATAATGGCATTTCTTACCCCTGGAACACCAAAGTGGTACACCTAGATGTTCCACTGTTAACTTTTTGTACCCCTGATTCAGCTAGGTGTTCTGCTATTCAAAATAATTTATCCGTAGTTCATCTATCTAATGAAATACAAATCATCCTAATCAAAATCATCAAAACTAAATGTTAAAATTGATAAAATTGAAGATTTTCAGGGCAAAACAAGAAAGAATGGTTGCAGTAATGGAACTTCCCACTTTGCCATATATATTTTAAAGTTGGTAGAAAGGCTTGGGGCAACTTTTGAAAGCGATATCAACAAAAAACTCTTTTATTGATCCAATTAATGATCTTGCTTTTTCTGAACAAAAAATAAGTATGTAAGAATCGTCACTACTTGGCTAATAGGACTAAAAAAAATGGCTGGTAGTTACACTTCCATAAAGTTTCTGAATAGTGTTTTGGTTACGCCTTCTGCTCTGTTTCACGCATTATACAAACCTTGTTTCACGCTATCTAAATCGGGTACATTGTTACAAAATCCAAGCCTGAATTTTTAATCCTAGTAACCGTTTCTCCGAACAACCTATGAATACGTAAGTCTAAATTTATTTCGTTGTCCTTATACATTTTTATATTTTTATTGTGATCCTGTGCTCAAGTATGCTGCTTTATTTTACATGTTTCATTTCCTGAAAATATAAATTAGAAGGATATAATAAAATGATGCGATGGTAAATTATCACAAATATAAAAAAAAAAAATTGACAACACCACATTACATTGATCTGACTCTAAGTTAAGAAAGTAACTTACGCACATGTGTTACAGAAATCAGAAACAACGACGGGAATTACAAATATATACTTTAATATTCACACTCGGACATGGAATAAATATTACATAAAGGTAAAATGGGACGCCACATGATGTTCTTCTTACTTTCGTTCTCTGCGTGTTGTATGTTTGGATTTAGTCTTTAAAAAATATCAATTTGTTCTTAAGGTCGTACTTCGGGCTCGTATGAACACTATAATTTAAGTACACAGGACTACTCGTCAGGTTATTATATTCCACAGTTGATTTAAATCTCTACCCTCAAAATAGGGTTCAAAATCAAGTGAAGACATTTGACAGATTTGTATAACCTGATGTGCTATTGCTATTGACTATACATTAATTAACTAGGTACTTCCTAAACGTCTACAATTCGTCTATCACATTGATTTATTATTTTTATCTGAGGTCTATTTGATCTATCTAAATTTTTACTTTTTATTTATGTTTGTCGCAATGATATTAATATGTTCGGCTGGTAACTTCATAGTTTATGAACCGATTTTGATATATTTCTTTTCGTTAAAATATTCTTCCGAAAATGATCTCATAAAAATATCGATATCAGATCAGTAGTTTTAATGTTAAATACCTATATCAAAATAGTTGAAAAATGTCTTCTAAAAAAATAAAATCAAATATTTTGTTGGACCTTTATTTTGGTAAACAATTAACTACCTAGGTAACGGTAATTTCAATAACTTTCGCAAATGTATTGACATTAAAATGGTTGTTACACAAAAAGAAGAAGAAACTTTGAATTAAGATTCTAAAAACAATGTCTATCAAAAAACTCCTTGTCAAAACAAAACAAACTAACCTAAATTCGACATATTCGATGCTTCATCCCATGTTCAAAGTCAGCTGCATAAAGTAACTTATAAAGTACAGCTGCTTGGCGTAGATCTTGTTATAGACAAATGAAAAATGCCTTAACTTATCGAGGTTACTTCTTTTTATTACTTAAGATCCAAAACTACCCTCTGGTTCCATCGTCAGATCAGCCCAATCCATGTTAACTTTGCATTTTCACCTTAATTAAATATGTATTCATGTCAAAAGCTTCCAAGATAAATTTTATGTATTTTGTTAAAAAAACTTACTAGGCACCATAGATATTATGAATCGGTAAAACCTCTTTTTATTATTTTTAATTTTTATTTTTAAATGGTATTCGACGTTTTTCAGATGTTCTTTTGTTAAAACTAGCCATGTTTGTCAAAAATATTTATTCATGAAATTGAAAATATTCGTGATTATTTTTCAAGAACTATCTTGTCATGGCCCCGATACGATACAGTTTACACTATGAAGATTATTCTGAACATATAATGTCCAGGTTTGGAAAATTATTGCAAATGCAATCCTTGGTTGATATGACACTTATGTGTAGTTCTCACACTTTGCGTGTGCACAAAGCCGTTCTTGCTGCGAGTAGTGCATATTTTCAGGTAATTGTAAAGATATCTTAGACATTCAACTACACATACCTACACGCATAACTATAGTTAATAGTATAGTATAATAGGTAATAGTATAATATAATGAATTAGTTTTTGATAAAGATATTTTTGTTTTTGGTAACTATTCGCCTATAGGTTTATTTTAATTTTTTGAAGGAAGTTTTGCAAAAGCAATCTGGAGAGCCACTTATTATATTGAAAATGCGATTCAGTGTGTTAAAGTGTCTCGTGGAATTTATGTACTGTGGGAAAACACAATGTTTAGAAGAAAACTTGGATGAACTTGTATCTGCAGCTCAATTTTTAAAAATCAAAGGACTTTCCAAAGTCACAAAAGAAGGATTAGGAATTACAAATCAAAGTGAGTAGGTAATTTCTTAAAAGTTGATATAAACTTGACAATTTTAATAACTAAAGATTAAAATATAAATGAAGGTACATTTATTTATGTTTTAATCACTACCTATACGTTTAATCAAATAGATTATTCTTTTGTTAATGGGCAAGCCTAAATATCGTTATTTTCTAGTTGTGTATATTGTCCTTATCTGTTATAGATAAGGGATATATGCAACTTATCCTCAATAGATAGGTATACATTTTAAAGATGAAACTATTAAAAACAAAACTTTTATTAAACGTTGATAAAACCATGGGACATACACACGCATACGCAACCGTCAGCTGTCGCAGAATCGGATCATACCATCTGTATCGACCTTTCCTTATTAAATTTATTTCGAATATTGTCTGTTTATACAAGATTTAATACACAGAATACCCTAAACAAGCCTTTTGATATAGCAAATTTTTTTTATATTTGATTAATATTAATTGATTAAAAAGCTTGTGATCAGTGGCGTAACTATACCGTTCGAGGTCGAAATTTGTACTAATAAATGTTGGGAGTAAGGTAATTGACAACATTAAAAATTGTGGTCATCCTATAAGATAATAACGTAATAAAACACTTTATTTTAAACAAAATAGTGTATATTATTTGCAGATTACACAAAATCCGTTAAATCTTTTATGATATTTTATTTGAAACGAAAACGCCTTGTAATTGGTTGTAAATATGACTTCCTGTTAACGATTTTAGTTTTATGAGGTTTGTTTATTTACTTTTGTGTGACGTGGCGTATGACAGAAACAGCGTTTTTCGCGGGTTTTTGTAAATTTAAAACTTTAACTTTGATTTTTATTGATTAATACAGTAAATTTTAAGCATGGAGCATGTTGTAGGATATTATGAGTGGGTACCGAACTATGACCACTGTAAGTTCTCAATTTTAGGTGAGCTACCAGTCTTCACTCCACCAGTAGTAATAAATCGGCCACCACAATCCCTCATCGATTTACATTCGCAGGTAATTTAAGTTTAGATGGTCATGGTAATAGTATTTATAGATTAATTTATTATATCTGAGTAGTTCTTATTATTTTTGGGTTACTTAACTTTTTAATTAATCAAATCCAAATATTTCATATATGAAAGAAAGAATCAATATACCTACTTACTTACGTGCTCAAGAGATTGTCAAAAGTTTTTAAATAGAAAGTATAAAATATAATACTAATTCCAGAGGCTCATCTAGAGTAATTTTAATATTATTAGTATCAATATATTGTAAATTCAAAAACGATCACCATTATTAATAGAATATTATTATCAAACTGATAATTTATACGTATGATTGTTAGGAAGACCCAAAGCCGCCGCCACCGGCTCAACTACCACCACCAATCGCGAATCCATCTGTTGATTCACTTTCACGAACCACCAAGGTAATTAGTTTAACAGTCATTTTATTTATCCCACTTAAAACAGGTACTAAGCTAAAGAGTGCCAGGGACAAAGTGGATTTTTTAGCATTTTTCATTAAGAATATTTTTCATTATAACATTATGAAAGCAAAATTGATCAAATATAATAATATAAGTTTCAATTTAAAGACTTACAGAGTGATAAGTGTAAGTTTTACGCTAATGCGTTCACTAGTGAGCGCGTTAAGAATTTGTATGGATATTTGTAGTTCTTGGTAGTTACCACTAGGGGCGCTGTTCCGTATTCCTTACTAAAATCTTAAAGCGCTCACGATCGACAGTGAACGTAAACGTCAAAAAAACTTACACTAAGCGCTCTGTACTACTTATTAACGTTGGAGTAAAACGCTGAGACTGCACTTAGTATTAGTCAAAATTCATATTATTAAACAGAGACTTAACAAAGTTTAACCTAGTACGAGGTTCTACGGGAGTAATATTTGTTCCTAGAAGGTAGTAGATTTGCTTATTCTGTGTGAAATATGAATATGGACTACTACTAAAATTGCAATTTTAGCGTTAATTTACTCTGACGCTAAACCTTTTTTATAAGTGGCACTGTTAAATTTTAATACATCATGTTAAGTTCCTTTTAGGTTTCCTAGAAATTTAAAATAAACTGTAGCTGAATTTTGTTGTAACTTGTTGTTATGACGTATCCGCACAATATGCCTTTCAGTCACAGTATCCATAACTTTCGACGAGTGTTTTGCCTGCGATATTCAAAAAGTAGATGGAAATTGATTACGCATCGGTTAGCGATACGGTTGTTAAGCAACTTTCGCAGTGGCCAATCACAGGATGGGTGACCAAAAAATTATTATCACGAACTCCTCCGTGCCTCGGAACGCCCGTTGAGCCGTTGGTCACTACTGCATCTGCAGTCGTAACACCCACCGATACGCATTGAGCTCGTGGTGGGTCATGACTAATTCTCCCTATTCGTATCCATCCATATGGAAGACCCGAAACCCAGCTGTGGGGACATTAATAAGCGGGTGATGATGATTCAAAAAGAGCACGTGCTTTTTTCTCAATCAAAAGTACAGCTTGCCTGCAGGATATGCTCATTGTGGATCCGACTTCAATCAAACATTTTTATTTTTCTCATTTTATAATGTAACTAGGTATGTAACGGTTAGATTGATCATAGCTCGCTTTAAACTCTCGCTTACAATTTGGTATGTGCACAGCAGGACATGGTACTTCGCATACCATTTGACATCGAGAATGGCGGGAATGCAGCGCCCAATGTAGATTATGTGGATGGACCACGCGCTATCAAGCCGAGGCGAGGGAGACCGAGCGTTAGGGTAAGTTTGCATAACAAATAGTCCGGGGGATAGTAACACAAAACACACGCGTTATCATAGTAGATGATTAATGATAATGCTGGAAAAAAATAATACTGGTCTAACATTCACAACGCTAATAAGTTCCGGGACAAGGTCGCTGATATTTGATGAGAATATATCTTCTACACTGATGTAAAAGATGAAATTTATCATAACGCAAGATTGTCGACAGTAAAAATTGATCCATTATACCATGGTTTTCTGCTTATTTAAAACTATTAAATTACCTAAATAAAATTTGGTATTTATCTCAAGAGCCAGAAAAAAAATATCCAAATAAGATATAAGTTAATTATTAACCCGTGTAGCGTTCCGGCGGATGGGAGACTAGCGGTATTTTAGGCCGAGCCGCAGAACGTGCTCTGATGCGTCGAGAACAGGACTCGCGGAAGGCCATTCATCAGCTGAAGCATTTGCAAACGAGACATATGCAGGTACAGTGATGGTTTTGAGATAGAAATCTGAAATTTATGTAGTTACGTAGAAATAAATTTATTATTTCAAAAAATTTGTTCCGGAAAATTCGTCATTTATTTCTTAATCAAGCGCTCGCTATTAATCAAATACACTATTTGACATAATTCTTAAACGGTTGTTAATAATATTTCATTAATTAATTAAATTAATCTCCTTTCAGTAATGTTTTTCCTTAATTTTGTTCGCATTCCAGGATTATATGGACAGAGTGACTCTCTCTCAAGCTGTGAATAGCATTTGTGGACCTGATAACTCCAACAATCACGGTTACATTAATCTTAATAACGATCTCATGTATATGGACCAGACTGCGTCTGCGAATGTTCTCGATCCTGCCATATCATATAGTAAAGAACACTCTATAGGTAATGAAACTATAACGTCGAGCTACGCTAACACTACCATGTGCAGTACAGCTAGTGAACCTACTAACAGTGGTATCGGCAACGCCATGTCACAGTACGTGAATGCTCTTAAAAATGCAGGATTACCAACAGACTTGCCTATTCTATTCGAATCAGGAGATGGCTCTTACATCAATGTTAACGAACAAGTTCTTTTAGATATGGTACAGAGCAGTGAAATACAGTACGAAGTTATAGAACAACCAAACATTATAGAAAAGGTTGCGGATCCAAGTGAAATTAAAAGTATTGATGATCTATCTAAATCCATTGAAAGAGGAGAGATACTTCTTGGAACAAAAGGCTATAACACAAATACAGATTTTGGCAAAGATACGAGTCAGTATAGTCAACAAGAAGAAGTTATAAACAGTTTGAATTCCATTCTACCTGATAATTTAGAATCATTTGCCGAACAACAAAATTTTGTAGTTCTCGACCCTCCTCTTCAAGAAAATAATAATTCATTGGACCACGACAACGCGCATGATTTTTCAGGAATAGATAGCGACATGCAATTCTTTACGAAATCTATGAGTGATGATGTAAAGAAGTACTATGAGGACCACCAGTTGAATGACGCTAGAGTAATGGAACAACTATGTCCTGCCAGTACATCTTTGGACACCAGCTTTAGCATGTCCTTACTGGATACTAAAACTTCCAATATGAGTGAAACACTCACTCAACAGTACAACCCATTGAACCCTGACGACGATTTTGGCCTTCAATTACCACAAAATACTGATGACACCCTGGACTGCCTTATGACTACGCCGAAGCAAGCGGACGACGAAACAAGTGCATTTGCAGATAGCCATCTTCTCCATAAAACTATTCCTGAAAAAGACGACATTATGAAAGATCTTATGAATATTGAAAACAACGTGGAAACTGTGGACATAAATTCGAAAACTCAAAATTTTACCGAAAATTCCTTAAAAAATATCGATCTTGAAAGTGCAAACGATTCTATAAATAACTCGGAAGACTTATCTGAAAATATTAATTCTGGAACTCTGCAATGGGATAGCATGGATATCAGCACAAAAGAAACTTCTAATCGGGAGAATGAAAATATGTCAAATAACTGCAGTCATCTGAACGATGCACCTGAAAATCAATTTCGGGAATCCGTCATTGATCTAACGGATTCATTAAAAGTTAAATCAGACTGGGAGAACATTATGAATGATAATGATGAAATTATGAATAAAGAAAATTGTATGCCGAACGAAAATATAAATTGCACGTTAGAAGAAGATATTCCGTATGCCGTTGGCTTATTGCCTTTGAAAAAGGAGCTGCAAACGGAAAATGAAAATATTCATAAAAGAAAAAATTCCATCGATGTAGATACTTTAGATAACGTCGATGCAAAATGTTTAAAACGTAAGATCAAATACAAAAAGTTGTGATAGGTTTAATTAACATTATAAATAAAATATGAAAACTGATAAATTGCTATGGCTTTCATTTAAGCGGAATTTAGATAATTGTAATGCAAAACTAGTGTTATGCATGATGAAATAGGTTCCATCAGCATATGTGAATGTAATTTTTCATGTGTATTTCTAAATAAATACCTACTACTTGTACGAATTGACACCTGACCTATTCAATTTTACCAAAAACAAACATTCCTCAATTTTCAAAATGCTTAATAAGACTCCAAAGGAACGTAATTTCCGATAACTTGGAATGGAGGTAGGACTTGACACTGCCTCTGATGCACCGCTAATCTTCATGGATATGATTTTCACAAAAATGAACGAAATTTTCCGAATTTTCATTCGAAATAAATAGAATAGAGCCTCAAGTGCCATATTTGTCAGGTTCACGGTCTTGTCCATTTAAAAATGCATGCATTCATTCAAAAATAAACAAACTTAAAAAATATTAAATTTATTTAAAAAATAAGACAGTCACAGTTTTAAGCACGACATACGGTTTGGGAAAAAGTCCAATTTTATTGTCCATTTAAATCTGTGTTCATCAATATCGTAATAGCGTGAAATTAACATAATCATTAACAGAAATTAACAGTATGATAATGATTTAGTTGATATCGAAGCTTGACCCTGAATCTCAGAGATCCATGGTATAGATCCATAACGGATTTACAGAAATGTTATTAAGGACTTCTGTAGAAAGGATATCATTTACGTAATTATTTTAAAAGTATTATAATGATATAATTGACTATTCATATTTTGATGGGAAAATGCCTTTATAACGTGATAATGTTAATAACAGGAACCATATGCTAAACCAACAGTTAAAAGAAAAAAAAGTCAACAGTATTACGTGGGTTATTTATTGTAAACATCAGTCAACAACATCTTTAAGGCAAATTGTTTTATATCATGAAACGTCTGCTCGGATGTTATTATTATTTTATTAAGTCAACAGTACATAAGGTTATCCTTAAACATATTATCACCTTAGTGCGTCATAAGTTCATAATAGACTGAAGAAATTCGAGATGAATTGTGATAACCTTTATACTGCTGGGTGTACCAATGTATTCTGTTTTGTACTATTTAGCATTAAGACGCTGAATAGTGCCAAATCGATAAAATTGATCTAGGATTGTACTAATTCACGGGAAACCTATGGCAATCCAAAAATTTGTGGTTATACTTGATCGTATTTCTGATCTTGTGGTTGAAACCGAAACATGATTGTATTAACTTCACTCGATAGAAAATAATTCCAAAGTAGCATCTAAAAATATTGCGAAAGGCACGTTTCTCAATTATGTGATACATTAGAGTAATGATATTGAGTACAAATATGTATCAAAGGTTGATATAAAAGTTGGTTATTCCCAATTTTTGATAATGTTATTATAATAATTAATATAATTTATTTTGTGATATGGCACATATGGTCATTTTTTTCAAGCACCTTTAAAGTATTGACATTTCTGTCACTCCTACTGCAATTGACAGGGAAGGCTATAGAATAACGCACACTAACTTAGTTCACGCTGAGGCGTGTTGCTAGATGGACCTATGTTGCTTTGTGCAGCGTTCTGACGTACCGAGATCGCTAAAATTGTAAAAAAAAGAACATTTAAAATAAGTATTTTAATTTCGCTCTCATTTTAACAATATCTTTGGTGTAATGTACTAGGGTAGGGACCCGAGTGTCTCGAAGTTGTAAGTTCTAATCCCACTAGAGCTCGCATTTTTTCAAAGCGGTTTTTTATTATTTTATTCTAATTTTCATTTTTTTCTGCCATAATTTTAAAAAGCAACTTTTTTTTATTATTATGCAACAGTATAAAATGTGAAAATAAATATTTCTTTAGTATGACGTAGGCAAAAGTCAGACTGACATTTTCATACAAAAGCCCCGATATTGATGAAATAGTTCCAATAAAATACATGTTCCAATCCCATCAAAGAAGCATTTTTGTTTTACTTTTATCTTCTTTTCCCCAATATATTTTCCTCTCTCATTTTTTTATAGGTATATGTTAATCATTAATAATTCGTTAAAATAATTTTGAATATTATTTTATACAGTAATTAAGTATTATTTAATAATCTAGTCTAGTTGATAAAATTAATTGCTGTAAAAATATATAACATAAAATTTGACAATAGGTAAATATTTCCATAAAAGTATGTGTTTGCAAAAGTTTGACATTTTCATGAAAAACCATCCCGTAGACCGTTACTCTAGTAAAAAATAATTCCTAATCAATCATATTGTGTAAATAAAATAGTTCAATAAATAGGTATTACTTTATAAAACAGATATAAAAAAGGGAATTAGTTACTATTGAATGAATTTGAAAATTATGGTAACAATGTACTAAATAATAATGTACAGGTTTTTCACAAATTTTAATAATGTTTGGTGTGGCGCAATGTCCTATGTGCTGGTCGCTAGGTACTAATTGTGCCCCAGATCAAAACCAAGTTTCATGATTTTTTTTTTACCCAATATTTTTATTATGAGAAATATAATATTAAAAATTATTTATGTGTTTATACTAAAATATAAATTATTATATTTAATAATTGTATAGATATTATTTTTGACATTTTCATGGAAAAACGACTGGATAAACTACGCGGTAATTTGATACAAAAATACCTCTAGATATCCTTTATTGGTTTGCAAACTATTGCAGTACGCAACAGGCGTAGCCATACAATTATTGATAATGAAAAACGAAGATTTTTCTGTAAGGTAAATGTACAGTGTTCCGGACTAGTACGCAATTTTAAACGATACTCAATAGACTATAGTTGTATTGCAACCAAAATACATAAACACAATGATAATATATAAGAGGAAAAAAAATACAAATATAAAAAATAATAAAAAAAATAAAAAAATCATATCTAGGCTGATTTTGAGTAATAAAATCGCATAATTATTTTAACATATCAAAATGAAAGGTCCAGTCTTTTTGTTTATTCATTATGTGACTTAAAAACATAACCCACCATTACGTGACGACACTTCGTTTGAATATTTTCTGAATCTGACATCTGTCAGTAGTTGTAAAAAAATAAATAAACAGCAGCCGATTTGACAGAAAAAGCAGATTCCGAGATAATACCTTATTTTATATTATTATTTTGTCGAGATCGTTAGATAACACCGTTTTCGTTTGAATAACATCACATTTATTTTTTTTATATATAGGATCAAACAGTTATGCAAATTTATATGAACATAAAATTGAAACATTAATAAACACATAGTTCGCTACATTACATTTGTTAAATTGGTTGATTGTTAAAAATAATTTAATCTGTTTGTACATTACTGTTATTTAATTATTATTATTATTGATATTTCAATCTGTACATAACAGAATATCGTCATGAATATGGCAGACGGTGTTTTTATGGGTGTAAAAAAGTGGAATTATGATTTAATTTTAAGAAAAGAAAACGTTTTTAATTTTTTGGAATATTTTTGTTGTCGATTATAAACACTTACAAGTACCAAGTAAGTACTTTTGCAATCAGAGTATAACACCCTATTATAAAAGCCGTGACAAGTTTTCGAACGTGTTTGATACGATCGCACCGCTATTTCGTAAAACGTCGTTCTTTGACTTTCTTAAGATACTGGTAAATTTATTGAAATAAAATTTGTGAAATCGTTTTAGCCATTAATTGTTATCAACAGAAGGTTTTATAATTAGAGAGCTATATATTTTTTTTAAATCTACTTTCCGCATCACGGACGCAAACCTGTGGCGTATGGTTACCGTAATAATTGAAAATCGCTCCAAAATGTTACTAAATTTTATTCCTGACTGAGGTTGGCATTAAAAAATTAGATGTGAATAATTCGGTAATCAGCATTGATTATTGTGACGTAAGTGTGGTAAAAGTTTTACGGTAAATTTTACAATTCAGTTCAACTCTAAGCACAGAGTTGAGGACAAGCTCGACATTCAAAGAAACGGGTGATTCTCTAGAATATCTAATCAGGACTTTGGGTCTGGGCAATCCCATTCTGAAAAGGGCAGGTTAGTGTCACTGGCCGTAAGGGCGGGTAAGTGTAAATGATAAAACCAGCTACGGTTCACCTCACATGGATGCATAAGTTCAGTATCGGTATGAATATCGGAATCTTGGAACAAATTGTTGATACCTGGGAGAATTCACACAACGTTTTAGGTGTTTTCTGTGACGTACTTAAAGCTGTCAATTATGGTGTTCATGAAATATATAATGAATCTTCATATTATGAATTTAGAGATAACTAGTTAGATTTTGCTGTCTCTTAGTTCAGTGGCTTTGTAGGAGGTTCATATCGGTGACAAGAAATCCCCTGAATCGATAGATCAACACCTATCATGGGTGTTTCACAGTGCTCAATGCTTCTTTTTTAATTTATATAGACAAATTGCCTCCTTTGGTAAAGGATAATCACGAAATAGATTTGTTTACAGTGACAATTCCGTGAAGTATAACTTCACTCTTATTTAAAATTAAAAGAGGACGACCTCAAAGTAGTACATTGGTTTAATATCTTATGTGTTATTCACGTTGAATTTTAAGCCTTTCATCACTCATAATCTTGCTCCATGACTATCGCTTCATTTGCAGATTGAATGGATTCTATGTAAGCACTATGGTAGGTATCATCTGCATAAAGAAAGCAGCTTTAAACTGGCGATACCAACGAAATTCATAAATTCTATAGAGGCAACTATTCAAATAATGTGTTGCTCAATAAATATCTAGAACAACCTCAAATAAGATGAAAGGTTGGGTTATAGTAAGTTTTTGTTATTGTTTCATTTGGTCGTATAACTTTTTACTGAGGTTATGTTTGGCCAAAATACTTGTCAAGATTCATTACACCGTTATATTATTTGCCACTAGCTGGTGCCCGCATCTTCGTTCGTGTTGTCTAATACCAAAGATTTTGTAAGCTTAAATTGTATGTTGTGGATTGAGTAGGTTATAACTTAATGAACCTGTAAAGGTAGAATTCTTTTTGTACCAAAATTATACAGTCTGATGACGGTGCCAACGGTATATATGATTAACAATAATATTTAAGATGAAATTTATAAACTTTATTGGTGTTTTTTTTTTTATTCGGGTGCCAAAATATAGAGCCCAGAGACGTTGCTAACCCTTAAAACAACAAGGCAAAGTTGGGCATTAGAAAAACAGGTAATTTTCAGTTCCACACCAGCAACTTTTATTCTCTCAACAGCATATCAAAGTCGATCAGAATTCCGTGGTTTACTGCGCTGTTTTTATATCTTTGCGTACTTCAGAAATTGTTTCTATCTCATTTTCTGGTAAATCTAAAGATTTTGGGCAATGTATGAGATGATCAGATGGTCAGATGTTTAGCTGGCTTAACTGGATTCTAGAGATAGAAGATTCTATCCGTTTTTATTCTTAGAAAATTTGATCATGTGTCCCTATATCGTTAAAATTCAAAATGGACGTCCATCCGGAAGCGAAGAAGTATGCGTGCTTTAACTATGTTATCCTCTCTGCTGAAATCTACAAACACTCTTTCTTATCTTAACAGTACTTGTGTACCTTTCACACCAAAACTCTTTGTTCCTCCTCTAATCGTCTACTCTGCCCATCTCATTTCTCCGAAATCGTTCACTCTTCGTTCTTCGTCAAATCTATTCCTTTGTGGGATGAATTTCCATTCTACTTGTGTCTACAAGAATTATCAATAAATAATAAATTAGCTTCTAAAAACAAGTTATTCTATAGCAAATGTTTCATTGTTTGGAACAAGCAAATTCATTAAATCATTAATTACTTTATGATTTATGTATTTTTATAGTAATTATGTATGTATGTATATACATACATAATTACTATATAATTAAAATTATAGTAATTATGTCTGTATGTATATACATACATAATTACTATAAAATTAGGATAATGATGTTGCCGTCTTATTATGTACAAAGTTAATTTTAATATATTTAAAACTAAATCCAAATTATCTAATCAGAGCTTTTTGACACATTGCATTGTCTGTTTCTAAAGTAGACGAAAAAACGGACAATAAACCTTAGTATTTACATGATCGTTGAAAGACAACGATACGTATCGCTAACCATAGATCTTTCCCTTTCCCGCGTTTTGTTGTACGCAACAAGGTCACGAACTTGCCCTGTACAACAATAGAGAGAACCCCGTGTCTACATCATCCTAAGGTTTACTGGTAGAAAATGGCCATGGCATTAAGTGTATTTGTGCAAAAAATGTCAATAAATAAAAAAACTATTTATTGTTAAGAAGTCATTTTTATCCGATGTTATAGTATAACTAGTATCTTTGAGGACTACATTATATGTTCTGGATCTTTGACTTTTGTACTCTTAGCAGAATATATTGATCAGGCACAAATTTTTTTCTTAAGGTGTCGCTGGTCTGTTATAGTTGTGCATCAAACGTTTAAGTTTCCAAAATTAATTATACCCCATATATTGCCCAGGTATTAACAAAATAGGTTTCATACAAATATACTCAGTAGTCCCGAAACTTAACGTGTACATACAGATAAACAGACAATATTTTTTTGCAGATTTGTTATAAGTATAAAACGTGTAACAGAAATAACGCACATCCTTATCCAACCCAATTAGAAAATGGATTTATAAATAAAATTAAACATTGTTTATGACACAGTTATACTTATTGCTGGGTAACGGTGTGGATATTTTACAAATCAACACAATGACGTGAAAATTACGGCTTCAGTATTTTTTAAGTTAAGGCAATAATTATGATTCTTATTTGTTATGAAAATCAGCTAGCATAGTCTTGCTATCATATATCCCATAATCCTTAGGCACTTCGATGTATTTATTAACTGTATGTTAGTATATAGGGATTCTTACTTAATAGGGATTTGACTTAATAGGGATTCGATGGACAAAACAGTTTTTTCTCTATATTTTTAATTACAGCTACAATGTTATGCAAGAATATATTTTTTTATAAATCGAAGACAATTTTCTTTTAAAATAAAATACATTTTCCATGACAAAAACAATCTAAGCCAATGATAAGTTTATCTGTAAAAACTTGAGTGAATTTTCATTTAATAATTGCAGTATTATGATTGTTTCGGAGTTCATAAAAAGAGTGTTTTTGGATGACTTTGCCTTCCCTACAAGCTCTTTATCCTTAATGTACTATTTAAAATATGGATAGACTTTTAAGATATTGATTTTGAATCAGTTCGCTTTCCAGTATCAAATAAAAATGTCTGACGGCAACTTTGAAATCATCTATATTTATGGGATTAATAAAATTATTGTGTTTTAATGGTTTTATCCTAACCGGTCAACCAGTCCTATACTTTGATGATGCGTCAGTATTACAAAATATCATTCCACCTCCATAAAAGGATCATGGCTAGAGGAAAAAATAACTTTTCTTCAAGTTATGAAAACAGGATATGTTTTATTAACTCCAGTCCAAAGATCAGGTAGAGTCCAATTCTTAAAGCATTTATTATTTTTAAATGGGCCATGAAATGTTCGACAGCAAGACAATGGTAGAAACAGGCGCGTCTACCCTATATTCTCATAAATCTAAAATTGCTTTTTTTCTCCTCCTCCGGAAAGTTCGATATGGATATGTGTACTAACTACAATGACTTCCAATTAATATTGCATATGGTGAATATTCGTTTACGTAAAGCCGACCTACCAAAAATTCGTACAGTTAAAATGTATAATGACTCTTCTTGTAATGAGAATAAGGTATGAAAGTCCGTCTCAGCCAAACTCGGCGGGGATTAGGTGCCATGACGTGATATTTGGTTTATTCTGATTGGCCGACATTATCAGGTACACACAGCAGCAAGTCAGGTTACTAAAGTCTATCAAATTATCGCAATTATTTTAACTCTACCTTCACTACATTAAGGTTTAAAATCGAGTGAAGAAATGTGATGTGATGTGTGGTATCATAAGTGATTTTATATAGTTATTTCATATTTCTTTAAATTTCAAATCTTTTCGTTATTCAAAGCAAAGCATTTTTTAAAATATAAATGAATTAGAATAAAATTCTGAAATATGAAACAGACATAATAATAGCATATTAAAATAATAGCATATTATTTTGTCGACCCAAAAAGAAAAAACATTCTTGTCCTTTCTAAGCCCCATAAAAATCTGGAGTAAAAAGAAATTATTCCTTCCTTTTAAAAAAATTCAGCGCCACCTGTTGTGTAAGCACTTTAGACAGCTAACTCAAAGCACTTGATGGTTATAAAACGTCATTGTTATTAGTACAAACTTTATCTGCTGGCGCTGAACCGATAGGCATTTGTTATTCTTCTGAGGAACGTGCAATGAGCTAACCCACACTAGCGTAGACACCTGTAATTATGTAAGGGGGCGTGTCGATTTCTAAAAATCATTCAGTGTCCTCAGCCCCTTAAGTTACAAAAATAAACATTTCAAAAATATGAACAACGAAATAAATATACTTGTGACAATTATTTTTTTCTAAACCATTGGATACATTAGATTATTTTCATGCTTTTAGTTTAAATGCCCACAGTATCCTAATATTATAAGTATAATAAAGTAGAATATGAAAATGGCTCGGATTGGTGGTAAATATGCAAAGTCCTTAATATAATTAAAACTAATTCATTACAATATTCTTAATAACTACGAGATTCTAAAACCTGGACGTAAATATTAATATACATATTTCACGAGCGCTAATCATTGATGGAACCCTTCAAATAATATTTCTTGTCGATCAAATGTAATACAAATACGCGAGTCAAATTTTTAAGATTGTATTATGTGTCGCAACTCGTAAAAACCAAGTGCAATTCGAACTTAATATGCATATAACGTTTTAACTATGTTAATTACATAATAATATCTAATTACTTTCGAAAATAACACCACGGTTATCAATAATTAACACTCAAGTGAAACAGTTCGTAACAACTCGTAATACTCTCCGTTTAAGTTTGCATCTAATTAACATAATATTTGTAAAAAAAATAAACTTTTAAAGTTATTATTTTCTTTTTTAACAGTGTTAAATAAATAATAATTTAATATATACGCAGGTAATAATCAACATATAGGCCTGCTAATGAGTGTGAAGCAGTAGGTGCTCGGCCAAAATATTGTGTGGCTGAGTATATAAAAAAAAACAACATATAGGTATAGAGTAGATCATCAAAAACAGTCTTTAGAAAGCATTCCTAGGAATCTAAAACAAAGAAAATATATTGGCAAGCAACTAAGATTTTTAAAAATAATGATACTAAAGATTTTCAGCATTTTTTTTTAAAACAGAGTTTACGGACCGCTTTAAACTGACTTGTTCGGATAACCGTATTCAATACATTACATATGTATAAGCTAAGTGGCAAACTTAAAAGATGAGTATTAGAAATAATATCTATTTCAAACTTTATTGTCAACTTATGACAAAGGTACAATATTATTAATTAATATAGTATAAAAATAATTGATCTGCTACAATATCATATGTACTGGGCCGTTTAAGATTTGTGTCGCTTTATTGACAAATATACACCATAGAACTATGTCGCATTACATTATCTATGCCATTCGATGAGTTTGATACAGAAGCATATAATATGATATAGTTCTATATTTGTATTTACTATACATGGCGTAGCGTAGTCTACAAACGATGGGATTCCACTCTGCAAGACCCTTCCTATTTCAGTAGTTTAACTCCAATTTACTAACAATATTGAAACAGATCCACATTTTATCAAGCTACATTACGTAAAAGCTTATTTTTAATTAATTATGAAAGTAAATAAAATAATTTCAACAAATGAAAGTAAAGATTCAACATTTTATATTGCAATATTAAATAGAATAAAAGTGAGACAAATAGTAAAAATAGAAGCGGCCGGCTATATCACAACCTAAACATAGAGGAATGCTTATAATAACAATAAGGCTTAAATCACTAAGTAAATTATTATTAAAAATATAATTTAAAAATTATTTCTACGTTTGCCTGGTTAATATCACGACAATTGCAAATATGCAGAAATGATTAAAAATATTAGGTAGTGTATTGCTAAAACATGCGGTCTGGTAGCGCTACCTTTCACGTAGTATCCATAAGCGTCGCTGTGGTAATCTCCCATTTGGAATGTGATAGCGGGCGATGACATTCTGCCGTCGCCACCGTTGGAGTAAGCGAGCACACGCAAGTTGTACGACTTGCCCGGTGTGAGTTTTGTGACGTACGCCTCCAGGTCGTGTTCCACCGGTACTATTGTATCGTTGGCCGTGCTCATGTCCTGATCGATTTCCCATACACGCACCTGTAATAATGAAGTTTTTTTTTAATATTGAAGAACATGATTATTTTTACATTATAGCACAGTCGTCGAACAGAAATAATTTCGTACAATGACCCAGAACTAACGTCTCTTTTATCTGTGCGCTCGCACAGACGCATCTAGCTACTTTAAATTTCAAAAGTTTACGATATCTATCAGTAGGTAGAATGGTCAACGTGTGAAATTCTTCCTTTTCGGCGTACCATATCATAAATCGATAATGTTATAATTGACGAGCTATAAATTAACGTGATTGATTACGAATCCATACATACAGACGGTGTTCCGTCACAATTCCTTATTCATATATTAATCATGAATTATCAAAATAGGAACTTTAGTGTTTTAAATTTAAATAGCTTTGAATCGATGTTTCTGTGTGGGTGAATTATACAGGAACAAATCGCAGTCATTTTTATGAGCTGTTATGCACTCTGTGCTCGTGAGTTTTGATTTAACAAACTTGAGAGCAGTTGAACGCCATCTACAAAACTTGTAACATCGTAATAGTCATCTGGACGACTAAATCTTTTAAGCTTGTGTCAGCTTGTTTCCTGATTCATGTGATGTGTTTGATTTGGTAGTGCGTGTGTGTATCAGTGATAATAGTAACACGTTTATTATTAGGTCGAAACATTAAGAACATTGGTAAAATCTTTCACGTATTACGCGGGCGATAAGACAGACCATCGATCAACGCACTCTGTTCAATTTACCCCTCCAGCACGTGTAGCATGACAAACTCGAGAAACGCTTTGTCTACACTTTGTCTACGCGTGCAGATTATTTAATTATCCCGAATAACGCAGTGTCTCAAGACAAAGGTAATTAGCTAATGTGTGTTGCCAGGGAAGACTTAGACATTAGGTCACTAACTGTGGATCTAATGTATAGGCTGTCACTCAGAAGGCAATGATGAAGGTTATGCTCAGAGTATGTCTGCAAGATCAAATCAGAAATGAGGACATGGAAATGGGCAGGATACAAAGCTCGTAGGACAAATAACGGATGGGGCATAAATGTCCTGAAATGTCGACCATGGACCGGAAAACAGAGCGTAGGAAGGCCTCCCACTAGATGGACCGGCGGCGACCTGATAAGATCGCCAGGAAACGTTGGATAAGAACCGCGTGGAACCGAATTCGGGGCGATTTTTGGAGAAGGCTTTGGTCCAGCAGTGAATGTTATCCGGCTGATAAAATATGAGAATAGAAGCTAATTACCTTGTAGCCAATGAGTGGTTCCTCTTCATCTGTGGGCTGTACGTAACGCCATACGACGCGCACTGTGGACGGATTCACCGCCCACACGTTGACGGACGCAGGCGGTTTTTGTGGAGCCTTGCGGAACGTGCGCTCCAAGAAACGTTCGCTCTCCGGACCTTCGCCCGCAGAATTAAACGCCATTACCTAAATATAAATATATGTATATAATATTGCTATTTTGAGCATGTGCTGTAGATTAATAAGTGCTCGTGAATAAACTAGACTATAATAAATAACATTATATTTAAGTATAATATGAAACTCTTATGAAGTATAAATAAAAATAGTTACCTTGACAAAGTAATATGTGTCTGGTTGTAGTCCCACAATAAGAGCCCAATTTCTAGTAGTTCTAGATAAATAATATATGCATTCTTCCTCTTTATTTGTCTGTTTCCAATATTTAAGTCTGTGACCAATTAACTTTCCGCGAAGTCTTTCACGAGATTGGTCAATCGGATTCCAAGTCACATTTAAAGCTGTCGAATTGAAGGATCTCGCTGACACTTGTTGCGGTGCTACCTGCGGCATATCTTCAGCAGAGTATATTGTCACTACTTCGCTCTCTGGTCCCGCACCAATATCGTTAAATACTTGTACTTTTACATCGTAAGGAGTGAAGAAATAGGTCAATGATATGTGTACAACATGCATTCCGACGTTACCGTATTCTTTAAGAACGAGAGATTGAAACTCGACTTCAGAACCGTTACGGCGCCAAAATATTTTATAATAAATACCAGGTCCATTTTGAAGCGACCGCGGTAATGGGGTCCAAGTAATAGTAAGATCGCCAATCTTTCCGCCACCCCCACCAACATTCTTTGGGGCTTCATGCGGTTTATCTGGTAAAGTAGAGAACTGTGGACTAGGAGCTGAAGGCTTCCCTACACCCAAAGCATTAACTGCTTGAACCCGGAATTCATAAACAGACCATGGTAAAAGGTTAGCAGTGACAGATGCACGTTTGCGTCCATTGTATCTATCGATTTCAACAACATTAGGTATGTTGTCGCTGATAAGTATCCAAGTAGAGTTCCAGTTAGTACGTCCTGTTATAACATACCCTGTGATAGGACGACCATTTGAATTGCTATCGGTCCATTCAAGGGTGACTGATGATCGTTGGATGTTTAAGACTTGTAATCCCCCAGGAGGACCTGGAGGACCTTCTATGCGCAACTGAGTGTGTGTAGAAATACGTCCAATAGCCGATTTAACAACACACTCATAGTCACCGACATCAGCAAGACTGACATTAAAAATAGTGAGTTCACCCCCATCTATCTTAATTCTTTTATCAGCATAATAGTCAGATGCATCTCTTATTCTTATACCATTATGATTCCAAAGGTATGCTCTATCTAAAATGGGATCAATTTCAGCATTACAATGCAAAAATACATTGTCATTAACTTGAGTAGTTAGCCGTGGCGGTAGACGTTCTATAAAGCGTGGCGTTCGCAGTACTATGAGGCGGCCCCGACTTTCATCAGTTCCGTATTGGTTTTTCGCAACACAGGTATAAACTCCTTCATCATCTCTAGACAATTGCCTTATAATAAGGTTACCATTTTCGGTAATAAATCTCTTACCACCAGCACCTATGATAATATTATCTTTCTTCCATGTAAATGTTGGCTTTGGTGCTGCCTCAGGGTTGCATCTTAGTGTCACATTACCACCTTCGGAGCCATATGTTTCAGATTCCAGGGGGTGTTTCTTAAATGAAGGTTTCAATGAAAGAACACGTAACTGACCAGATGAAAACCTTGCCCGTAGTTGGTTACTGGCCTCACATTGGTACATCCCTGGATCTCTTTGTGGGTCCAAATATTTAATAGTCAATACATTGTCTTGTATCAGGTACCTGTCTCTATCTTCTGGTTCTAATGTTTCCATTGATAACTTTTTACCATTTCTCCACCAAGTATAGTTGACGTCAGGGATGCCAAAAGCTTCACAATTCCAATGTAGTTCTCCTCTATTATCAACATGTTTATCGGACAATGGAATGGTGAAATTAGGGTAAGCCATTACCTTTAAAAATACACTATTTGCTATGCGAGCCCTATCATTTCGAACATCACAAATATATTCACCTTCATCTTCTACGCCAACATTAGGTATGGTCAAAACACGATCATAATTACTCAAGTGTGCTTTTCTTGGCATATTTCCATTTCTTCTAGTCCAGTTGTATGATGGTACAGGATAGCCAAAAGAGACACATTCTAATCTTACTTCCTGCCCTACTACAGGAGCTTCGGGAAATACCTTAGGAAAGTTATTAGGAAATTTCAATTGCTGATAATCAGAATGAGGATAAACTAAGAGAGGAAAGAGAGGACCATTACGGCCAGCATCTGAAAACTTGCTCATTACATTACAACTGTAGTTACCTCTGTCAATGGTTTCTAAAGCAGAAAAATACAAACCACCATCATAAGATACAAAAACTCTTTTATCTTCTTCTACTAGATTTGGAAAAGAATTACGAGCCCATAAAAAGTTAACAGAAGGGTAATATGAAGGAGGATCACAATACATTACTTTACCCCAATACTGATTGCCTGTCTCCACAGACCGTTTCTGGTTAAATTCTCTAATAAACCCAAATGACAATCTGACCGACTCCGAGCGAATTGTACCATATTTATTTGTAGCTGTACAATGATGTTTAGCATTGTCTATATCTGCATCGGGATTAAAAATCATCAAAGTTCCACCACTTACTATAAATCTAGGATCAGCTAATGGATCGATTTCAATGTATACGGCATTATCAACTTGATAGTCTTCCCGGAACCATTTATAAACTGGGGAAGGGTAACCACCTGCTATGCATGTTAATTGAACATGGTGGTTTCTTCTGGGATCATAAATGGTGTCTTCAGGTTCTTTTATGAAGAAAGGTCCTCTTGGTATTCTCTCAGGGTCATATGTGTCTAGTCCATATGTAAATGATCTTTTTTCCTCAAGAAGATAATGTAACCTTTGTATTTGCCCTTCACAAATAAAATGATAGTATTGTGTTCCTTCAACTGCAGCCAATCCCCATCTTCCATCCTGGTGGGAAAACCTGTACACTAAATAATCTCGAGGCAAAATGTTATAGCTATTGTAAATCTGTTGATGATCATCAAAGAAGGCATTTTCTAAGCCAGTGAGCTGTGACCCATCTACATCATTAGCCCAAAAGCCTGGTGACTGTTGATGTCCTGATACATACCATGACCCTTTCTGAGGATCTAATTTCATAAGGTTAGTTATTATAAATCCATGTTCCTCTGGACTTCTAATAGCCGCTAAATCTGCTTCAAAGGCCTGACATATCTTACGAGCTTCATTTCTTGGGCGGTTGGGCGATTTCGTGAAGCGATAGCATGATTCCCTGTATCGAATCCAGTTCGGAGGACACCTATGTCGCTCTTCATAATCAATGCCTGCATAACTCACTTCATGTGAATCTAATTCATTAGTATCGAAGTCGTCCGAATTAAAGTCGTCTGCAGATTGATAAAAAGAACTTTGCGCCTTATAATCATTGCCATTAACCGCAAAGCTGCCATAAGGTATTTGAATCTTGGGACGGTATAATGATTCATTTTTGATGGGGTCATTTGAATATTGTTGCTGTTGATAATTTGGGTTGAATGGATTTTGTTGCGATACCTGAGCCTTCACAAAACTCGTCACGGAAAATAATAGTAAATAGTAATTCATTTTCTGAAAAAAAAAGCAGTTTGTTGTTAGAAAACACGGTTGTAAATGTACGAAAACTTTGTAATAAAATATACGTACTTTATTTGAAAAACATGTAAATAAATGTCCCAAATTTTGCTATTTCTAAATCAATTCCATCAGGAAAAAGAAATTTGATAGTGAAATGTCGAAAGTAAATAGAATTTAAAAATGCGTTCGGATATACGAAGCAAAGAAAGCCAGTAGGTAAAACTCGCCTCGCCCAACTCAAACATCAAAATGTTTCCGTATTATTACTGTACTCTTTGTCATAATGACATATGTCTCATCGTTCGAAATCCTTACATTTATTTTTACAATTTTATGTAAAAAATATAGAATATTCTTAAAGTATAATGTGCTATGTGTAATATTAACGTGAAAGTTTTTAGTTTTGTCATAAAAGTATTTGAAAATATTTCATAAATGGCTAAAACAATATCTAGAATAAAATACAATTCAATATGCTCGTAACTCGTAATACTTGTTTTCGAATTTGAACGGAACGTATAATGATGTACAACATTCGTTAAAGAAATCGATATGTAAACTAATCGATAATAAAATTTGCTTTTTCATGAAATTGAAAAGTAAAAATATATATAAATAGTAAAAATAAGAAAAATCCCCCGTAAATGCAATTTTGCACACGCCCATTATATTATAGCACTAATATTTTAGATTGATGTCTAGTAAATGTGGTCATCCTTCTCGTGAATCGAAAGCACTGAAAAAGCACCTCCACTAGATGGCGACTCTAGCAAAAGTTGATTTTTGCAGGAAACGAATGGACCAAAGACAGTCATTTCCGTTCCTTTTTTTGAAATTTGAAAAGTTCGAAATTAAGATATCAATACAAATACGAAAAAGTAGAAATACGATATGAGTTGTTTATTGAGTTTTGAAAACTAATATACTTTTAAACTTCAAAGAAAACCGGAAAGGTTGTCATGTAGAAATCAAGAACGTACCATAACGACATCTAGTTTGATTTCCTCATTGAATTACTAAAATAGAAAGAATGGGTCATTCCCCACCACGAGGGTTTAGTGCGGTTGGTGGGTATTAACGACTGCAGATACTACCAGGACCAACAGCTTAACGTGTCTTCCGATGCTCAGAGGAGTTCGATAGTAAATTTTCGGTCAGCTATCTCTTAAACCGGTCAGTCACCGGCGAAAGTTGCTTGAAAACCGTATCACAGACCGTGCGAGATAACCACTACGCTATCGAGCTCCTCGTTGTTGTGTTTTGAAAGAAAAAAAAATGTGAAGTTTTGGTACTATTTCACACCTATATCAAACATACTATCAGGACATCAGGACCAACGATAAGCTTTTTCTCTAATAATTTCTGCCAAGCAAATTCCGAACGATATTCGTAAGTTGATTTTAGTTTTTGACCCTATTGCCGAATGTTATTAAATTTTTACTATGACTTCTGTAAGGGTTCCGTTGCAAACAAGGAACAGTTATTGTTTTCGGTGTATTCGCTACAAATCATCAATTAACGTGGGTTTATTTGATACTCGTGAAATAAAACTCGAAATCAAGATAATATATTTAAAAACCAAACCTTACCTGTTTTTTTTTTTATAAATAACGAAAACCCCCAAAGGATCTTCGGGTTAAATCGTTTTACTACGTATAAACCATCGTATTGCAAATAACAAGTTAATACGCAACGGTGTTAGAAAAATAAAAGTAATTACATTCATTGTTCACATATTTTTATTTTTGATTTATTGTTATCAACAAGAATTGTATCAATAATTACGATAATACTTAAACTGTAGGTACCGCTAATATCAGATAGGTTTACAAGACTTTTAATTTCATTCAGAAAAGTATACATGTTGTATAATCGTCAATTCCATTTATTCTACATTCTTTATTTTTGATTTTAAACCTCGATCAAATTTTCTTCTAAAATGTCATCACAGATTTAATATGTACTTCTTTGTTTCTAGTTTCCTCGTAATTAGGGCGGAACTTGACTGATATTAAGAAACAGTTTATTATAAAGGTATAGAATGAGTTAGAATAAAGTACAGGTACGTGTATATATATTGAAATTAAATGCCTGTTGAAATATAATATTCACTGATGTATATATTAAAGAATTCCGACAAGATATAGCTTGAAAATAATTTAAAATATTTTTTTTTACATTTTTTATATACAACATTAAGCGATATGCATAAATGATTTAATAAATTTTCCTAATTTTATTACAGGGTGTATAAATAAAAACATAACTCAATTTACATTATAAGCAAAATAATAATTGTACATTAAACTTAATATTTCAGGCAGATTTAGCAAACATAACAATAAACAAAAAACTGCGCAAGTATGTAAAAATTTAATTAAATACTAGCATAATCTCAAAACTATCGGCGTAACGATTGTTTAATAAAAAACACGGCAGTAAGGTAGGAAAACAGCGATTAGATGATGGCAACACGTTACGAAAATATAAACTGGTAATACCAGCTTCTGATAATTTTTAGGAGCACGATTAAAAAACTGATTTGCATACGATACATATTGCACTTATTCATAATAATGATTTAAGTACGGAAATCGTGTGCTTAAGGCATCGTCCAACCCTGTGCCTGATACCTTCCTCCACGTTCATACAAATTCATCTATTATACAAATTAACGATATACTCACGTATACTATTGCACACACGATTTAAGATTATGCTAACTCTTATAAGTATTATGTATATTTATGGTAACTTTAGCTCTTTATTATATTTCCTAATTAAAGTATTATTACACTAACGAACCAGCTTACCGCAGCGCTGTTTCTAATCATTTATTTAACTAGCCCAATTTACCAAACACCAACGTTAAATAGCACCCATGAGAATAATATACACTTAAAGCGATATTTACGCAAAATACGTTCAATATTATTATTATTATATTTACAATATGTACAGTAATTGTTCAAACCATTAATATCTAAAATCACTTGAATATAAAGCTCTCAGTTGAACCAGATATCCATAATGACAATTATTATTTGATTATGTAATGGCTGCCTTAACTTACACAGTCTCATAAAACAAATATTTATTTATTAATAATATTGTTCTTAAATGAGATATATCTTGTTTAGATTAAAATAATCAGTCAACTAAGTAAAAGATCTCGTTGTTGAGCCGTCAGCGTCCGCATTATGCCGTATACATTTTCTTCTCTCTTAAACTAAATAGGTACACAATTAAATTACAACCATATTTAATAGTGATTTTTAAATTGATTATATTAGCATTCAACCAATATCAATGCACGTATTCAAATAATGCATTATGCATTAGGATCGCGATTACGTGAATTGAATAAAAATCTTTTGAATCCATTTGATTTCTATGAAAGAAAGTAAGTTTACAAATACCCGGGTACTCAGTTGGTCAACATAAATTCATTCTTGGATTCAAGGTATCATTATTTCATAAGAGAGCTTATATTAGAATAACTCCACTCGAGTATACTTCATGTAATACAAATACTGTAAATTGTGATGTATGGTTCTAATGTCAGCTAATAAGGACAGTCTCGATCTTCAGCAACTGTCTAAGTTTGTCAGTGACGCGCACGAGTGCCACTTTAGAGGCGCGGACGTTGACCTTCTCGCCGGCACACAGAAGTTGATGGCACTGAGCTCGCTCAAGGAACTCCTGAGTTCTGATCTCGCGCAGCAGCTCCTTAGGTGAGCCTGATCCGCAATGAATTTGCTTCAGTAAACTGTCTTTAGACTTTATCTGAAAACAAACACGTAAACAAATGTTATTTATTTTTCATATCCAATCCGAGTTCATCTAGTCATGATCCAATAAACAATATTTTTTGTACTTTTATAAACTATTTCCAATGTATTTTTTTATACTTAGGGAGCTGAACACCTAAATAAAAGACATTTTTATATTATTAAGATCAGTTAACCATAGGATAGCAAGTGATTTTCAGAACTAGCATACGAGATTGGAATAGAAGTACTATGTGCTAACTACTATGTATGTCTTGTTGGAATTAGTATTGACCTGTAATAAATTGGTGATATCCTGCAGAAGACACCAGAGTCCCTCTGCAGGCTGGCCAGTAACAGACCGCAAAGAGTAAAATGGTGGTAGAGGAGCTTCCGTGCACTGTATCTCCATAGTGCAATCTGATGGCGGCGGAGACGACGATGGGGGTGGCGACGACAGCGGATCACAGCCTATCTCCTCGCGATCTTTAATGAGATAAACAATTTTAATCATTATTATTATATCGGTATTTCGCTGCAGCAGTCTAAATATTGCTATGACGCTTAGCGATTAATTAGTTCTAATTTATCTAATTTGAATAATGGAATGATAATGGAAATATTATTATTTTTAGTTATGTTTGCCATAAATATTCGTCTTCATGAACGATTAATTGTTGACTTTGCTTTGTTTATCCTATATAATATAATTATATATTTAATCTCTTGATGTCAGCTATAGGTAAAGATTCATTACTGGTACATACCGATTATATCAGCAGGGTGGGGGAAACGCCAGGGCTCAGTGGCGTAACCCTGGACATCGGATATGTGTAGTCGTATCAACATCGCAGCTGATCCTTCTGCCAGTTCTTCTGGAGTTTGGCCCGCGTAGGTGCCAAGTAACGGGTCGGCGCCGTACGCCAACAACAGCCGTATTATTTCCACATGGCTGTTTTCAGAAGCTTCGTGAAGAGGCCTTAAAATAATTTATTTATTTTGTAAGCAAAGATTTTGTAAATCCTACTATATACACATCAGATTATTGAAGTTGGTCAAAATACTGCATTGAATTTCGAATTTAACAACGAACAGGTAAAATATTATTAAATACAGCTGGAAAATATGACCTCTATAAATTATTTATTTATTTGAGTAACCAGCGAGGTCAAACAGTGTACATGCAAATAATAATTAATTACAATGTGCTGTCGTAATAAAGTGACGTATAGTAGACAACTATACGTAATGTTAATCTATGTAATTGGAAATATATAATCCACGATCACTTTCATAACATGTCTAAGATAACTATTAATATTTTATCCTTACCTTATACCTCCTTGAGCCGCCGCCGACACATTGGCGCCGTACTGAAGTAGTAGTCGAGCTATTCGCACATGACCTTTAGCAGCTGCCACATGAAGTGGCGTAAATCCTGCGTTGTCTTTAGCTGAGGGGTCTGCTTCCATCTTTTCTAAGCAATATGCAACACAGTCCTAAAAACAATATCGTATAATTAAGCACAAACATTAGGATAAAAAAATATTAAGTTACATACTTATTTTAATCACATATTAATTTCGCTTACCGTGTAACCAAGTCTAGCGGCGCGATGCAAATGTGTTTCGCCAATGCTCTTGTTAATAAACCAACTTTTTATTTCTTTATGTATGTCATGGATAGACTCTGGGCTCGGTTTCGCTGCAGCACGTCGTATCTTAGTTGTTGGGTTGCTATCTTCGCGACGTATAATTTTTTTCTTCTTCCTTATATAATCAAATCCAGAACTAAATTTTCTTCTACCAAATAAGCGTTTGAGTCGCCTTTTAATATTACCATCTGGAGGTGGCGGGACATCATTTAAATTAGAATCATCTTTGGGTTTTTCTTTGTCACCCGATATTGTATTGGTGTCTTTCTTATGTTTGTTATTTGAACCATCTTTCATTCTTTTGTGTGATAATGACTTCATCAAACTATTTCTCTTTTTCAATCGAAGTAACCTTCCCTTAGCATCGTTTCTTTTGAGAGATTTTGTGCTCCTTAAGCCGTCTCTTATGGAACTCGATCTGCGTTTTAGTTTATCTTTAATAATTTTCTTTGATTTGAATTTAGGTTTCACATCCTGCACAGATTCTTTTTTAACTTTAACTGTTTGTTTTTCCTCAACCTCTGGTACATTCTCACAATATGATGAAGGTGGAGCTGACGCTGGTCGCTCGTCGCCGAAAACTTCTTTTATAGTCGCTCTTTGTTTTAATACTCTACTTTCTGTACGTGTTCTCGACTTTAGAACTACGGGCGCAAACTCTTCTGTAGCACCTATAAGTCCTTCCGTATTTTTGATAAAAGCATTCCTAAAAGCAGTCACCGTTTCTTTCCTGAAAGCACCTAAGTAAAATATATCCTCCATTAGCTTTTCCTTTTTCGCACTTAAACCACCCTTATTTCCATTTTTTATCAAGCCTAAACTAGGCGTGGGCAATAATTCAGTTGCATTTGAACTCTTGGGTATAATTTTTGGAACCTTGTCATCTTTATCTTTAGATTTCTTTTTCGAATCTTCCTTTTTACCACATTTCTGAATAAGAACATCAACTATTGAACTACGCTTTTTTTTAGCATGTGAATTCGAAAATACTGTAGAAGTAGAAGCTTCCGAGTCGTAGTGTAACTTATTTGGGGCAGAGTAACTTGAATTAGATTCAAGATCACTATCAATCGTAAGTTTCTCTTGACGTCTTGCATATAAGTCATCGGTAGCTGCTGATGGTGCTGAGGAAGGAGCTGGTGACAGTGGTGCTGGGTCCAGATCTGGCAAAGAGGTAGAACCACGTGTAAAGAAAGCTCCAGAACCTTTAGGAAAAGTACCACTAGAACGTCCTTGTGGAATAGCAATAAGCCTTGTGGGCATACGAAGAGATCGTTTGTATCGATATAATTCTTCTTCCCAGCCTGGATGGAAATCTGATCCATCTCCGAAACCGGGCTTGCGAACAGGCGTAGAACTGCTACTGGCAGTGTTTTCTTGTTTCTTTGAAGATGAGGATTTTGTAGGCGTTTTAGCTGAACTTTGTTTATGGTCTTCAGTCTTTATGGTTTTGCGTTGTCGAAGTCTACTAGCTACGCTAAGCTCATCATCATCACTATCAGAACTTATATCATTACTTAAGTTTTCTTTTTTGTTGTTGTTATCACAAGATATTTTGCTTTTAAGTCTAGATGACTGTTTGGTAAATTTTCCTTTAATTTGTTTTTCTTCTTTAACAAGAGATTCAATTGATTTTCTAGTATTTTTATTAACGTCTACATCACAACACTCCAATTTTACGTAAGCTGATTTCTCTGATAAATCTTTTAATAGTTGATACTTCAGTTGCTCACTACGTTCTTTCTCCTTAAGCAATTTACTTTTTATTAAGGGTTCATCATCATCAGTAGATTCCGCTTCTTCTTTTATGACTGTTGTTATTGGATCTTTGTCTTTAACCTCCTTTTTTATTGGAATCGTTGACGGTAATGAGTGGTCATTTTTGTCCGGTTTAGATTTAGATTTGGCTTTGACTTTTTGCAGTTTTTCACTAGTTTTGTTTATATTGGTATCATTTACCTTTTTCGGAGTTTTAATTATTTCTTGTTTGTCTTTTTCTTTTGTACCTTTTTTCTCTTTTGCTTCTACTCTACTATTTCTAATTTCTATCTCTGAATTATCTTTTGTATTTAGGTCGGGGATGATATTTATAAGAGGTTCGTCTTCTTCTATCATTTCATCATCATCAACCGGTTCTTGTTTTATAACTACAGGAGTTGTTACATTTTCGATAAGATTCTCTATCACAGGTTTAATAGGATCAGATTTCTGATTTTCCTCAATCTTATTATCTTCTTCTTGGTCATTCATTTCTCTGGGTTTTCTCAATTTCTTTTTATGACAACCAACTTTTAATTGTTCCATAAAGCTATCACAAGCGCTAGCCCAATCTAAATCATTTCCGAAAATTTCGCTACCTATATTCAATTCGGGTTCTAAATTTTCCTGATTATTTTCTGTTTTTATGGAGCTTTCAGCATCTTTCTCAATTTCTTCAATATTCATAGGTTCCGATTTTACTTCTGGAATTATGCTTTCTACCAACTTTTCACTTTTGATAACAGACTCAAATCTTAAATTATCTTGTCTTATTTGGTTGAATAAATGTTGTTTTTGAGATTTTGGTTGAAGTTTAACTTTATCATTTCCTGATATCACATCTTGCTTCATTTCAGACTTTATGTTGTTTTCTTCCGACGGTGGCATTACTTTCAACTCTGCTTTAGTTCTTATTCTAGAAGCGACATCATTCTCAGGTGATTTTCTTTTCACATCAAGATTTTCTGATTTATTACAATCCAAATCTTGAGGTATGGAATCTACAGCTTTCGGTAATTGGATATGGCTTTCCAGGCTTGGTACGTTATGGACGGGTTTACAAATATTTTTTGCAGAAACATCGGCATCAACATCTTTAGTAAGATCAGTTATTTCAATTACCGAGTCATCTACATCATCAATGACAATTAGTTCCGGAAGCTGTCTAGGTGGCTTTGCTGGTTCTATGTGCCCTGTTTGCTTTGTTTCCAAACTATTTCTCAGTATACTCAATATTTTTTTATCTGCTGGAACACCACTTTGTGGGTCTATATGATGTGAATGTGATTCTCTTTGACTTGGAAGCTTTTGTATAACATGGTGACGATTCGTCGAAGTCATGTTTCGATCGTGATAGTGACCACGATAATCGCTAGATTCACGATTTATTGGTTCTGGAGGGTATTGATTATTTGAGTATCTATGAGTGGCATGTGAATGATGTTCTCGATAAATACTAGATGCAGGTGGGCGCTTTTGCTCATTTTGGTAAGCCTCAAATTGTTTGTAACTATATACGGGACGACTAATTAACTCATGCTGTTCTCTAGCTAATTGACTCATTCGCTCTATCCGACTATCTGAAGTCCAAGTTTCATACCGAACAATCTTTTCTGGGATGTTGCTAACAATCGGGCCTGCTACCCTTTTTCTTTCGTCTATATATGACCTATCATCGCGTCTACTTTCATGCCTTTGATCGCTGATTGGTCTTGTGAGGTCAATTCTAGGAACATAGTCGCTTCTACCAGAACTACTGCTATATTTAGTGCGTTCAGGGTATGTGTGATTTTGCGGTTCCGTTACATATAATTCAGAAGTAGGTCTTCGGGTCCATGATCCATTGTAACGTAATGGCTGATTACTTTGAGCTGTAGCATTAATACTAGCATGATGATTATTTCTTTCTCTGTATTGCATAAAATTTGGCGCGAAATCTACTTTATGTGATGAAGGATAACTTGCTCCTGCAGATACATTTTGCTGACCGTTGCCAGATGGAATTCGAGGTTGTAAGGACAGCGTTTTATTTTCCATTGATACTGAATCTATCATATCATCCTGGGTTGTTGAAGAATCTGCCGAATTTTTTACAGTTTTGACTGATAAATCTAGTGGTGATTCTCGTTTTTGTTTCGGATGACTGACTTGGCTAGAACTTGGTGAAGCTGCTATCGGAACGTTCTGTTTTTGTTTGGTTTCATTCAATTGGTTCACGAGTGTGGTAACAGATACTGTCATGCGAGCTTGTTGATTAGGATATCCCGATTTAAGTGCGGAACGCGCTGGTGATGTTTGGACGGAACTGGAAGCAGAGTATTCATAATTGGTTTTAGGCGTCGCTCCAGCTCTATAAGTCGTTCTTGGTAAAAGATTTGAATTTTGGGCCACGGGAGCTTGTGAGCTAGTTCCATATCGAGACGTGGAAGTTGAGGGAGTAGGATAATGGTAGGTACTTCTACTATCGACAGTTCGACTCGCATTGGCATATTCTACACGATGTGGTAACCGCGCAGAGTCGTGTTGATGTAATGGAGATGGAGCCGGTGCACGGTCCGGTGGCCTTGTTGAGTAATGCGAATTCATCACATCTATCGCAGCATGTTTGTACTGAGAAGGATGATGAGTCTCCATTCGATGATTTTGAATTGGTTGGGCCGTTGCTGAAGCTGGTCTATAGCCTGGATAAGCATGTTGAGGATCATATTTTCTCGTAGGAACTGCTGGATGTCTTTCATAATGCGTACTTAAGCGGCCATAAGGTGACGGCTCGCGTCTGTGCTGCAAAGAGGTGTAAGTCTGTGATGAACGGACATCTAATCTTTGTGGAGGCGGCACTACTTGTGGATGATGAATAGGTGGCACGCGATCATTGAGCGGAGGAGGAGGCTGAGAAGCGGGCATGACGTAACGTTGAGCGGGTGGACTTTGAGTAGTGGACTCACGCAATCTTGAGGCTGAATGTTGCGGTAAAGAACTCGATAATCTAGTATATGTCGGCGGACTGTGACGCACAGACACCGCTGGTTGTGGAGAAGGTATTGTGTGACCGTGCGAGTTTCTATTTACATCTGGTATACTCGATTCATAGTGATACCGCGCATATACTTCAGGCGGCCTCGAAATACTGTAAGGATCCGGAGGACGTCCTGGATTATAGTGATCTGGTGGCCTAGCTGTAGGAGTTGGTACTCGATGAGTAGATGGTCGATACTGTGCATTAACCTCCAAATGGTGCTCCGAAGTCGGCGGTGGTTGCACAGGAGCTGTAGATGGCGGTCTCGCTGGTGAAGGACATGGAGCAGCAGGTGCAGGCGCTGGCGATGGCAAAGTTCGTGGAGGCTTACGTATAATGTGCGATGGTGGCGAAAGAGTTTCTATCGATTCTTCTTCATCTTCAACTTCAGGAAGTTCTCGACGCTTTTCAGCAGCCTCCCGCATAACAGTCGCCTTATGGATTATATGAGGCTCCGGCTCGATAGGCTCCGATGGAGGCCTGGGCGGAATGGCGACTGCCATTGCAGTAGAAGATGTGGTGGGCGGTGCGGCAGCGGCGGATGGTGGACGCGACGTCGGCGCAGGAACACCCGATTGAGCCGGGGCACCCTCTTCTGATGGCAGTCCACTTGAAGGCCACACCTGTTGTCCTGAACCCTCTGTCTGGGCTTGTTTAGGTAGTCCCATAAAATATTGACGCGTCCCTTCAAGTACATTGTTGAAAGTAACATCCATAATATGACTTCCGTCTGCAGTCTGCGCCTGAAAAAAGAAACATTCGAACTTAATACAGTAATCCTCATTGTTTATTGCCTATAATTACCGAAAAAATTTAAATAAAATTAACACAATATACCTTTAGTCTACAAATTACGCGTATTAAATAGATTATTATGGGGTTCCAAAGTACTGTGTAGGGTCGTTACCCGGCGGCTGCCCTTGAGCGTACTTCGCCCCCAGTACGCACACACTTGCAACCCGCGCGCGCACTTTACTCACACAACGATTATACTAAAACTTCCGCGTCACATACAATACAAATACACGTAAATGCTTACTAAAAAGTTTATTGACCTTCATTTGGATCTTCTGAATTAATATAGGTTAACAATACTGTACTAAATATAAATTGAATTCAGAAATGTCCCAGACAGGCTTTCCTATTTGATGGGATTCAAATAGTGAGAAAGGGATGTTAAATCTGCAGGACCAATTGCTCAACTCGTCTTGCCAAGGACGGAGGTTCAGATTATAATTTTTCAGTCATCCATCCTAATAAGAGCCGAGCAGACTGTACGCACTGACCACTGCGCCATCGAGCTCCTCAAATAACTTGACTATATATCTCTAAACACGTATAAATTGATCATTTTTAACATAACTTTGATTTAGAAAAAGGAGGTTGTTAATTTTATATAATTACTGCTCACTAACTACTCCGTCAAATTGATCTATGTCCAATGTCAGCAAAACGTTCATGCAAGATAGTGTAACTCTGATACGTATATAAATTAAACGATACCATCCTGGCAACTATCATTACTTTGACCTTCATTCCGATCACACAGATTATACAATCATGAGTTATTTCGCTTCGTAGTCTATTTAAATGGTTCTTATAAATAACAAGGAAGAACATTATCAATATTATTATAACTTTTATCTAAAACAGACGTTGTCAATCTTTTAAATGCGAAATGCATTAAACAGTGATTTCAATTAAAATATTTGAAGATCCTACGCGTAAAATTTTCGGTTGATATTATTTGGTAATTATTTATAATAAATTGTAGTTACTTTTTTATTTCGATTAAGAATGTTGTTTCACTATGATCTTTTTTTATTTCGATTTCTAAGACATGAGGCTTAAAAAAAGACTTAGTCGATGTTAGGCAAAATCGGTTTACTCGGAAAAAACATCGATATTATCAGAAATAAGAAAGGATTAATTTGATTATCTCGTTACTGAAAAAAGTATTACAACGCCAAAGCTATTAATATAAAAATTACAAGCAGTCAACGATCTAAAAAGTTCAAATGGCTGATAATTGGTGCCTTCACCCTATCCGGAAATATTGCATCTCAAATTGATCTAAACCAATCTAAACAGAGTAACTCAATCGATTTTTAGTGTTAGTAAGATGAGAACCGAGTAAAATTCGGTTTTCGGTTTTATCTCTATATTATTCATAAATGCAAAAGGTAACGATCGCTATAATAAGCTTTTTACGATTAAATAAATAAATAATCTGACAACAGAATCATTTGGCCGAGTCGCTAGTATCTGTATTATAGAAAGACAAGATAGAGTATAAAAATGGAAGTATCATAAATTTTAACTTTTATTGTATCTATTTTACAAAGGTCAAAGCCAAGGCATACAATGAACGCCTTATGCGATGTTGAAGCGCGTTCAACAGAGCATAAAACCAGCACACGGAAATTAGTAGGTACCAACTTGGTATTTTTTTATGAAATCGTACGATGCGCATCCATGCGTCGCAACATTCAATTACTCGTAATACGTATACACACTTGTGCGGATTCCGTTACAAGAACAACCCGTTGGTCCGCTTCGTCGCATTGTAGAGCGTTGTACATAATTTGTAATGTAAGCAGTAGAAAACTTAGGAATGTTGTGTGCGTTTGTACAGATCAAAAGTGATATTAGAGATGAACCGAATATCCAACAATTATCCGGTATCCGAAACCCCGGTAATTAAAAAGAACTAATGACATATATTATAATTCTACATCATAGAAAATAATAAGTTCTTTTCATTCAGCGCGTTTGTGAGAAAAAAAAGTACAAATAAAAATTATCCTATGTCTACTGTAGGATAGTCATTTTCTACTATTAAAATATATTCTTTTTATACAGCAAATATTAATAAATGTATGCGTTATTATGGGAACAACAATAATTTGACGACCAAAACTACCTATTTGTCGTCAAAAAGGTTATCAATAATATATCTTTATGCAACTAATAGATTAATATACGGTTTCTTAAATAAAACTCTATTCATCTGTTCAGCTATAGAAACTTTTTCAATAATTTATTAAGAGAATTCATTAAACTAAAACTAAAAAAAATATAGCTTCATTATGGTCAATCAACGCTATTTGATTGGTCCAACAACAGATATAATCTGAGCCGGTTTTCACGGTCACTTATTAAATTATCATAAATATATTATAATTGAAAACGTTTCATAGATTACTTAATCATTCTGGTAACTTAAAATTAAGTTTTTGTTTTTACTTACTTTGATTTGGGCTATCCTGCTTGATGCGAGTGACAACCTCTATTTGCGTTCATGGCTTCGGCTTCTCTTTCCGGAATAACTGAAACGTAAAAAAAAATGTGAATTTATAATATAATAACAACCTAGAATCGCATAGGAATTTTTTTTTTACAGACATATCTTTTTTCATAATCAAGTATTTTTTTATCCAATTGTTTAATTATAAAACTAAACAAGTTAAAACGTTGAGGTTTTGGTAAAAGCTTTGGTATTCTATGGTTTATGAAAAAATGTTGGTTAAAATTTTATCATTCTCCGGATTTTGGTCAAAGTTCTAAGTTTGTGAACAAAAAACTGTCTTTTATCCATTATTCCTAATAGCTATCTATCAACGAGTTTTTTGATCATTGACACATTTATAGATTATCAGTTTTTATTGGATGAAATATAGTGTTTTACGTATAAGTAAACAAAAATATTACGACTCTCCTCGCGATGATCATGATATCTGTCATAGTCAACGAAGACATACAAGTTAGTAAACGCGACTTGCGTAGCTTTTCCTTAACTTGTGGTGAGACTAGGACCTTGCTTCTCATCTTTCATTAAGTTCAGATTCGTATCCTATAGATTTGATTATTTAAATCTCCAAACAGAATCAAAACACATGAATTAATTCTGCGTTCTGCCGGTACAGTTTTGCTGTGATCTCATCTGTTAACAACCGAATAACGTTATCATGTAGTAGGTACATTCGTGTGGACATTGACCCAGATTCAACATCCGTTGACAAACGATTCAGTAAATCATGCGAATTGACTTGTAAATGGTGTTTGGTGAATGAAAAGTATCGATACATACGTCGTATTTCCAATCGATTGGTTCTCTTTGATGCACACATTTGTCTTACAGCATTTGTTCATTTCACTCACTGAATAGTACAGTGGCACAACTCAAAAACCATTATTTCGAGAAAACGCCACAACATTGTGGTGACATCCCATAGATAATTTAAGAAAAAATAAAAAGCTTAACAGTAATAATATAAACCAAACGATTTAACTTTCATAATTATAAATATATTAAATTTTCATAACTTCGGAGAGCGTTTCTCGAAATTATGGACTATGAACAATAAACGAAATTTTAAAGTTTAAAACGTAAACTTCGTCAAATTAGCAATATAGCGTTGTGAATGCAAAAATTTTGTTTGTTTTTATGATTAATAATTACCTAATACCTACATCTATATTTATACCGATATTTTAAAGAGGAAAGATTTTATGATTTTTTTATTTGTTTACAATGAATAGGCTCCTAAAATACTGGACCGATTTTAAAAAATCTTTCACCTACGGGAAGCTACATCATAAGCCATGAATATAGGATTTTATCCCGAAAAACAGCAAATAAATTGATGAAAATGGGAATGGAAATTTCTATAGGAAATTTAAACGTTACAATCGTAACGATTGTTTACCATTCAATTTGTCATTGTAATTATATCCAAGTCATGGTTTAAAACAATATCCAAATAAACAGTTCCCTAGGGAGGGACTACTCAGGTGACGCCGCTGGCTGAAAGCTAGTTATATAATAATTATTATATAACTAGCTTTCAGCAAGGAATAAAAAATAGATCACTATAAATTGCATTTGGTGATTCATAATGACAATTAAAAATTAGACCATAATTGGTTGATGACATTATATGACAACCTAGATTTATAAATCTAGAATGACGACCTTGGTGGTCTAGTGACTTCCGCGTTTGATTCACTTAGTTATAATTAACCACATGATATGATTTAAAACGTGAAGACACAGTCTTTATTGAAATCTAAGCTAGTAACTACAGCTACATAATATAAAAAAACCGAGAGGAGCTCGCCAATATAGAGATTGAAAACGACAAAAACGTAGTCGTTGAAGTCTATAAATAAACTGCTAAGGATATATACCTGTTTGGTAACCGAACTAGTACTAGAGTGTAATATAACAAATTAATTACATAACTATATTGGCTAGCTTCGTAAGAGTAATTATAAACTAACAAATAGTTGATCGATCGACAAACGTATATAAAAAGAGACATAAACGTTCGCGGATAGGGATTAATAAAAACAACTTTTAAACTGTTTGTATTTAGTTTTATTGACGACTCGGTCTCTTCAAAGGTTCCGTTTTCACATAAAACTAAGGTGTTGATTGTCTTTTTAATTAGGAGTATAGCTACCTTCAAAACAGTACTATTGGACACATTCACATATTATTATTATTTTAAATTTTATAAAGTTGTTTCGTTTATGGATAGGGAGCGTGAAAATATAAGAAATCAATAGGAGAGTGATTTTTTTCTTTTGCGTAGTAGGGGCAGACAAGCCCTCTATTGCAATGTTCATGAGTGCAAACGTCACGCACACTGGCGCGAACACAGCTGTACAGGTCAATGCCCCGCGACGCGAGCAAAACAAGGTGAATCGTAAGTCCACAATAGTTTTTTTTTTCCGCCACTATTGCTTTGCAATATCCAATTTTATCGAGATGTGTTTCATAAACAAATGTTTGTGAATAGCAATAAAGTTGTTAAATGGGCTGTAGTTTAATAAATGAAAGTTTACAGAGCGGCTAGTTTTGCCGTCGTTTTAAAGGGCTTTGATGATATGGAAGTCAACCTAATTTCGTCACTTGGGTTCTAGTAGATATGTAAAATTTATGTAGTTGTATTCCGCATTGCCAAAAGAAATATTAATTCTGTAATTACGTAATAATTGCATCTCAATAGAATCTTAACTACATACATTTTACCGTGAAACTATCTATCTATTAGTGCTATATTCTCCTCACACATCAACGGTGACAGGTAAATAATAATATTAGACTTTAGGTAGATATCTTTTTACGTGTATACCAAAGTCAAAATAATCTTTATTCAAATAGACTTCTTAATAGTACTTTTGAATCGTCCAACAGTTTTCCCTGCCACTCGTTCAGGACGTCTTTTGGCTGATAAGAAAGACGAGCAAAATACTCACCAGCTTTAATAGGAGTAATTACATTCACATTAAAAATAACATTCACAAAAACCATGTCATTACCAGATCAATACATTATAAATAGAGAGAAAAAAACTATGTCTTATAATGATAATATAATAATTTAATAATAATGGCAACAAGATAATTTTTGAGATATAATTAGTTTCGAAAAAATCACCTATCTAGTTTCGATTTCGGTTGTTGATCGACCCCTTGTAAAACCAAATTGTTGCGGATTCATAAAGTTATTCTTGTAAAAGTATGTTTGTATTTAGTCCAGCATGATTTTTTTCAATAATCTTACGTAGATAGCACGGATATAGGTCTAAAGTTAGTAGGGTCAGATTTGCTACTCGATTTATGTAATGGAATAATTTTACTATATTTCATGAGCTCAAGAAAAATACCTCAATCAATACATTCATTAAATATTATGGGCTAGCTTATGCCCATAAATCAGCGGCTTTCTTTTTCTTTAGCTGATTAAAAGATTTTATTATATCTTTAAAATCAATGTATTGAAACTTAAATTAGCTATTACAATTGTTTAAATTTTCCTTTAAAATAGATTCAGCAAAAGTGGAAGAGGAATTCAAAGATTGTGTAATTATGACTATGTAGAAATATATGTAGAAATCAAAGTGATTATATGAAATCAAAGTTATAAATGATAATATGTAGAAATCAAAGTCAAATAAGCTTTTTAAAGTGTTCTTCTCTTGTCTTCACTACATGGATAAAGAACTGAATGTTATTGATATACCAAGTTAATATAAACTACAATAAATTTAGCAGCTTAACTCTGGTTTACTATACACCACACAGATCCAATTATTTCGGGGATTCGTTCGTCATTTCTTTCATAATTGTCTTTAAAATAATTACTCGCAGCTGCGATGATTATTTTAAAAAAAGTTTCACAATTCCCTCGGCTACAAAGTGATTTGCATATTTATCAATGCTTCTCTATAAAAATGGGTATAAAACCACAACAAATGGAAAATTTAAAAGTTAATTTCAGGGTTAACTTTGCTATTTTATTTCTGTCGCGAAAAATTATAAATTCACATTTTCGCTATGAATGTTTTAGAAATAATGATGTGATTTCTTATTTTTTATTACAGCTTACTTAGACGTTATTCTTTTATATAAAACCAAATATAATTTAGTGATTTTTTTGTGTGAGCACTCTCTTCATAAGCACTATGAATGATCCTAGTTATGTTAAAATAACTAATATTGTGTGTAGAGTTTATTGACATTTTTACTCAACGATATAAAGGCAATATACTATTTGATAAAAAAAATAATTATCTGGTATGACACACGATTTGTGTCAATGTCCTAAAGTGACGGAGGGTGTGGCGTCATTTATTCATTTACCCCATGTGTGTTGTAAGGGTTGCCAGATCAATACATAATTTCTAGAGATTTTTGAAATTAAGATCTAGGACTCTTTTGCATTTTTTAAAACAAATGAACGCGCTACAAACACTTATGATGATTGAAGTTCTGTGACAGTTACAGAGTAAAAATCGCATTTGGGATCTATGTGATGATGTCTAGCAGCCCTAGGAATTTCCCTATATCACCGCCCTTTTTTATAAACGGTGATTTTACTGACGGAACATGCAAACAATTTACTGAATATGGTGAGTGGAACATGTCTAAATCTGTGCGGCACAGGTTCTTTTCTTAAACTTTTTCCGAGTATGTTTTAAGGTTTCTCCCTAAATAAGTTCCTAGAATGTATAATGACAAAAATAGCTTCATTCACACTTTTTAGAAATAGCTACGTAATATTACTTCATACTTTGAAACAAACTTTGTTTTAAGGAAAACGTAAACTTTATTGAGGGACTTTACTTTGCCGACGGATAAACTTTATGATACATGTACAGTACAGATCGACGTGCCATCGAGCTTACCAACTGCAAAACAACCTATAATTAAAAAAAATGGTGATGTAACAACAAGTTGCCGGTTTTCCTATCTTAAATGTGCTAAAAAACATCGCATCTTGTCTTTCATGATTCCAAGTCAAAGGGACGGTTACATTAGT